TCTTCTTCCTCTTGGAAACAACCCAGAGTGACCTTCAAGTTGCTCCTCTTCCCCATGATATTCTCACAACAACAATCTTGTGAGGTAGGTTAGGCTGAGAGTCAGTGACTGGCCACCCAGTGAATTTCATGGCTAAGTATCAGAACTCAGATCTCCTGAGTCCTCCTACAACACCCTCACAATGGCTCTCAGGAAGGAAAGGACTTAGGAAGAAGGCAGTATGAGAATTGAGGGCAGAATCCAATGAGGGACTTATACCCTCATCAATTTGTCTGTGCCCTGCGGATTTTGTTGCACAAGCAGTGGGTCCTGCCAATTCCATTAATGTTTCACAAAGGAAGCCCCCAGTGTGTATCAGGAATATATTCTTTATGTGATATAAACCATATGTAGTTCCTATGTAAGCTTCACCAAGCTGTCCTATCTCAAAATGAACATTTTTGTTAATTTCCAGCTACCCTCATGTTGGGAGTTATAGGCCTTTTTTTCCTTGTCTAAACTTTTTAAAAGAACTAACTAGACATATATTCAAAGCTATGGTTTTTCCAGTTGCAAGGTATGGCTGTGAAAGTTGGACTGTAAGGAAGGTTGAGCACCGAAGAACTGAGGCCTTTGAATTGTGGTGCTGGAGAAGACCCCTGAGAGTCCCTCAGACTGCAAAGAGGTCAAACCAATCAATCTTAAAGGAAATCAACCATGACTGCTCTTTAGAAGGCCAGATCCTTAAGATGAATCTCAAATACTTTGGCCACCTAATGAGAAAGAACAACTCACTGGAGAAGACCCTGATGCTGGGAACGATTGACAGCAAAAGGAGAAGGGGATGGCAGAGGATGAGGTGGCTAGATGAAGTTGCTGAAGCAGTTGGTGGGAGCTTAAGTGGACTCTGGGGGATGGTGGAGGACAGGAAGGCCTGGAGGAATGTTGTCCATGGGGTCGCGATGGGTCAGACACAACAAAAGACCTATATAATAGCATTCTTCCATACTGAGAGCCCTCCTTCAACACCAATATTCAAAATCAGACTTGATTTCAGTTTGTATTACCCTTCTTCCCTTTCGCCTTCACTCACTTCTCTCCTCGTGCTGGCCAGCTAGATCTTTACTTTCTGATCCCACCACCTCCATTTAGGTCCTAGGTTAATATTTTCCTGTTTCTGAATGTTTTTAATAGTTAATGCTGCTGTTAATTTTTTAACATGTATTCTAGTTTTGGAATGTTTTTAATAGTTAATGGTAAGTGTGCTTTGTGTTGTCATTTTCATGTTTTAAATATTTGTGATTGGTTTTCTTGCTTTTCTGTCCCTTTTAGGTTGCCTTGGAAGCTTGCCAAAATGCAATTCCTAAATGTGAAAAATAAATAAATGATATGTGGCACTAACTTTGGCACTTGACTGAAAGGGCTGGTCCTCCCATCTGGTAGGCAGAGAGGTCCTTTTCCAGGTAACTGATTTCTTTGTGAGCATATTATTAAATGACAGCAAATGGTAAGTTATTTAAGGGACAGTCCAATGACTGTAGATGGAGAAAAGTCCTGTATCTTTCAGCATTCCCTAGCCAACAAGGTTGGTTAGGGAATAACAAAAATTGTAGAACATTTCTCTGTCTAAACATGCATAGGATTGCACCTTTAAGACACAATCCTATGTGTGTTTAGACAGAAAAAGCAGAGCTGGCTGAGGCATGCTGGGACTTGTAGGCCTTTCTGTGGTCTAAATATGCACAGGATTGTGCCTTTAATGTAATATAACATTGTTAATTTAGGGTGTGCACCAGTTGCATTTCCAGGGACCGAAATGTCTGGGACTACCAAAATGATTGCCGTGGAAACTGCCTGATGATGTCCCCTATTCTTATGACAAGATGGCAATTCTTCTCTGAACCACATTTTTTTTGATAATAATAGCGCTCTTGGAATAAAGCTTTGTGTTTTGAACATGAAAAACAAACAAGAGGTATTTACTAGCAGTACTAAGCAGTAGCCAATATTAAGAGATCCAGCATGGCGCTTTAGTTAAAATGTTGAACTGGGACCTGGGAGATCCAGATACTAGTCCCTGCATGGCCATGAAATGCACTGGGTGCATTTGGGTCTTTCAGTGATGCTCAGTTTAACCTGCCTCACAGGTTTGTTGAGAGGATAAAATGGGGAGGAGAAGGACCATGTAAGCTGTGTTGGGTTCCTTGGAGGAAAAATGTGGGATATAAATGTAATAATAAAATAATAAGAAATATAACAAAGGATACCTACTTTCAAGGCTGTTTTAATGGCTGCTGAGATGATATATGTGGAACACTTTGAATAGGCAGAAGCACTATATAAATGCTGCAATTGAAGCAACAGGCATAATGGTTAAACTAGTGCTGTTTTTAGGGCTATTAGCTATTTAGAACATGTATAGACTCAGAAGAATGGGGCAGCCTGATTTTATTCTCCACAGGTATAGAGCATAGGATCAAGCTAGTGTTTGTTGAAAGCCAGGTCTCCTTTGGCCCTCCAAAGTCTAAGGTCAGACTTAATAAGGTCAAGGTCAGCAACAATCCCTGCCAAGTGAAAAGATCAGGTCTTAGGTAATAGGAAAGACCTCTTTCCACCTGAAACCTGGGAAAGCTGCTGCCAGCAGGGTATGCAATGCTGGAGTAAGTGGACAAATATATGGACCTGGGAACATACATAGTTCCCAGGTCTGGTATCAAGGATAGGCAAGGCTGGCCATCTGCCGAAGACCTACACCCCAGCAGGGCCCTGCAGACAAGACTTGCTTTTCCTCTTCTTCATTGCAACCTGCTTGTTCATCAGCTTCTTGCTCTAGCCTGCTTGAGGACGCCTGCGCTTGCTCAGTGATTCTTTGCCTCCCAAGCAAGTGAGATGATGAGAAAGAGGACGAGGAACATTAGTCACTAGTGATAGTGGTGAGGAGAAGGTAGGTTCCTCAGCCCAGCGGGTGGCAAACTCTTCTCACTACTTCCTTTGGGGTGGTTTATAAGTCATTCCACATAGTCATGGCTTGTTGCAGGGTTTGAAAAACCCTCTGTGTCTTGGCATGTCATCTGGGGAAGGAAGGACTGCCTCCTGTTGGCACGATGCAGGCCTTCCCTTCTTGCTGCCCAGACCTGACATCCCCAGCTGAGCTGTGCCATGGCTGAGCAATGGCGAAGGGGGCACAACCCACCCTTGCCTTGGTCTCCAAGCCAGCATTAGGTGGTTTGCGCCCCCCATTCTGGGTTCCCTATGCTGTGTTCCTGCAGATGCTGGGACAGTGGGATTGCTCATAAGCAGTCCCCTCTGTTGGCTTGGCAGGAGTGCAGGGCAGGGCAGCAGCCAACAGCTGCTGGAAATGCAAATTTTGGGCAGGTATAATCCTCAGTGCTCCAGTTCAGTGTCCCCTGGGCTACTGGCTGGAGGACTGTGGGGAAGCCGGGGGCGTAGTGCCTTAGGATCCCTGCTGTGCCCAATTGTTAGTTGGCCATAGCTGCCCCTCCAGCAACTCCAAGCCCAGTGTTCTGTGGCAGAGCATATGTTGTACATGCAGAAGTCACAGGCTCAGTCTCCAGCATCTCCACTGGTTTGATGGCCTCACATGATCTTTGCCAGCCTCAGCGCCTCCTCTTGCAAATCAGTAGTACAGAGTTGATAATAATCAGGGGTGTAGCAGAGGGAAGGATGCCTTAAAGTGCTTTGGGATGCCCTGCTTCGGAGCAGGAGTTCTGATGTCATTTGCTGGAAGGCCAACTCCTGGCTCTGAATGAAAAGGAAGGCAGGCAGGCAGGCAGGCATTCAAGTTTCACTGTGGTTTATGACAGATCAACTGAGGCTAGCAGTCAGAGAATGAGGGGCTGAGGGGATGGGGGAGGGAAAAGCCAGCAAAGTTTGAATGTTCCTTTTCTTTTGACAGTGTTCCCACATCAGCCCTGCAGTTTCAGTGGGAGCATTTCTTTGAAAAACTGATTGCCTTTCTAATTAAAAAGGAAAGGCTTCATTTCAGCTAGCTGAAGAATGCCTTTGGTTAAAGCTCAGTGTGTTTTACAGGTTGAACCAGTGAAGTTGGAAACAAGCACCACTGAGTTCAATGAAGTTTATTCTCACATAGATAGGACTACAGTCAAACCATTTTTTAAAAAGTTTCTGTTTCTTTCCCCATCCCCTGCTGTGCCAGGTAGGCAGATGAAAACTTCTGGAGAGCTCAAAAGCCTGCACAATCTTTTGTGGTACTTAGTTTGGTCTAAAGGCAGTTGTCTTCCACTTGATCAAGGTGGCTGTTTACCTGTGGCTGTCTGAGGAATGCTAGGAGTTGTAGGGCTTTTTGCATAGGATTGCATCCTAAAGGTGAATTTTGGTTCTTGCAAACACCCCCATCCTGATTGTTTTGAACTTTTGGGCCAATGCATCCACCTTCGTTTTTCAGACTGTGTGTTAGGCCTGCGCTCAATGCCCCCGAGATCCTCCCGCACTTCCAAATTTACCACCTGACCACGGAAGACCATTCAGACCAATCCCGCACCGTTGCTGAAGATGAAACCCGCCGGAAATGCTTTATAAATGCGCCATGTGCCTTCACTATTAATCGGACAGGCGCGAGAGAAGGGAACAGATGTGCGTGCCCTGCACCGTGTTCAGGAAGGCTCGCTCGCTCTCTCTCAACGCCCCCCGCCCCGCCCCCGTCAATCATCTTCCTTCGGGCTCGGGTTTCTTTTTGCCTTCCCTCCCCGCCCAGCGGGCTGAGTTTCTCTCCTCTGGGAATGCAGTCCTCGCGGCGCGCATTCCTGAGCGGGCGGAAGGGCTGTTGGGACTTGCTTGGTTCGGGCCACCTCGAGTTCTTCATTCAAACGCGAGCCCGCCCCCGCCCGGGCGGGGCTGCTGCGGCCGCTCCCGCCAGGTGTGGGTCTCGGCGTGAGTGAGCGTGGAAGAGGGGAGGGAGGGCCAAGGGAAGGCAAGCCAGCGAAGGAAGGACGGTGGCGCGTAGTAAACAGAGACGGAGAGAAAGTTGGCAAACTCCTGCATTGCTCTTGCTGGGTTGGGAGTTTGCGCCCCGTGGAATTAGCCCATCAGTTCAAAGGCTTAAGGTAACAGCCCTCATGCTTCAACAGGAGCCCACATTGGAAAGGGGTGTGTGGATGTGTTTGTGTACCTTTCACTGATAGCTGTGCATGTTTCCTGGCCGGCTGGGTGAATCTCATCCTGTCAGTGTGCGGGGTGGACGTGTCTCCAAGGGAGAACTAAACCTGAGTTTGCAAAACAGATAAATGCAGAGCCCTTTCCTTCTGGCCTCTGCCTCCTTTGTAAAGCTCTATCTGTGTTTGTGTGTGGGCAGATAGCTGGGGAATACTGGGTATAGTATACTTTTTCCATCTAAACCGGCATAGGATTGCACCCTTTAACAAAGGCAGAGCAGTTCTTGTCCAAGGTTGCTTGGAAAATAATTTCTTTGCACCCTATACTCCACCATGTGGAGATGGGGAGTCATTTCTTACTAACGTTGGGTGGAAGAGGTTCTCTGCACATTGTCCATTATGCTCTCATTTAAATTTTTTTCCACCAGTGAAGAGGCTGAGGCCTGGCATTGGATCCAGGTTATGGGAATAACCCTGGCCACTCCTGGTTTAAATTAAAGCAGGTGATGGTTTTAGGTCCATGCTGTGCTGTGTGCCTTCAGCATCCACACAAGAAGCTAATTTGACCAAAAGAATAGTGGAGCAGTGGGATTTCTTAAGGTGAGGCGGGAGGTGAAAGGTGATGTTGTCCCTCTGCCTCTTCATAACATTTTTTCTTCCCTTTGATTGCTTCAAACATTTGTGGGACGAAGTGTAAGCATTTTTATGTGATGTGTACTTTAGATATGTAGCATAGTAACAGGGAGTTGCATGGGGACAGAGGAAGAGAAGAGAGAGGAAAGGAATTTGAATGCCCATATGGGACAAGATGCATGATCCAGGCCATTAACAATTAGTCAACAAAAGAGGGATTGTAGTGTATTAATAATGACAACAACAACACAGGTTTTGTGTGCTCTTTTGCCAGCTTAACATCTCCTGGGAAAGTGGGATGGTCCATTGACACTTACAATAACAGAGGAGGATATATGGAGAAGAATTCACAAAAATAGACGTTTTTATCTGGTTTTACCCCTGACTTTCCAGCATGACAGGTAAGGTAGTATCAGTGATACAGTTTGGAGTGGATCCTGAGGCCAAAGCCGGGTTTCCACTGCCAGGAAATGCCTACTCAGAAATGGCGAGTGATGAGGGCTGCAGAAGCAAAGTCATATTAGAATTGGCAAGCAGTTCTGGCAATGTTGTTCTGCCATATCAAGATTGCAGATGCTGTGAAACAAGGACTGCTTCTGCAGTGCACATGGCCTTTTAACCTTTGCCTCCATTTCTGTTAAATCCGGGGTTCAAAATTACCAAGCTGCATCACTGGCTAGTATGAAAAGTGCAGATGTGATAAGCTGGAGATCTTGGCTAACTTTAAAACTGATGTTGGTACATATGAAAATATGAAAATGTGTTTGCGTAGCTGAGAGAGGCATTTCCTTTCCTTATCATGCTTGAATATTAAATATTTAATCCTATTAATTACTCAGGGTTGATGACAAACTCTCTATTGTAAAAAATACCTTATTCCCTGGGGAATCTGGGGTGGGGATGGCTAGACCTATGCTTGATGACTCAGCAATGTCTGAGACTTGTGATTCAGCATATCTCCTTGGAACTCCTCTCCCCTGACTCTTGGACAGCATCGCTTGTCCACACCTAGGGCTGCAAGAGAGAGCGCCACTTCCTCATATTTAGTTCAAAAAGGAGTAGGAATGTGGCTGCTTTTTTCTTTCCTTTTTTAGTCATACAAGATGCCTGAGACTTTTACTGCAATTCGGCAGGTGCAGCTTTTTCTCCTCCAATCTGGAGAAAAAGCTTTGCTGATAAATATCTGCCTGCAGATGTTACTGTCAGAGGAACCCTTGTGTGTATTTGAGTGAGAGAGAAACCCTTAAGAGGTGTCCAGGACCTACCCTTTTTTTCTTTCTTGTTCTAGCACCAGCCATCTATTGCCTTTCTAAGGGTCATGGTCATCTCCTGCCACTGCTCCCAGCTGCAGGAGTTAGAACAATTGAGATAATTTTTAAGAAGCTGCTTTATCCTGACTGGTCCATCTGACCACTGATCCATCTGAAGCCCTTGAGCATCTTCCTTGTCTGGCAGCTATTCTCAAAACTTTTCAGGCAGAGAACTCTCTCATCCTAGTTGTCTGCAATCTTTTAAAGTCCAAATAGTGGGATACAAACCAGTGACTCTTTCCAGACAAAGCTATGGGCTTTCTGCTAAAGTGGAGGACCCAGGTGACAGAGAGCATGCTACATGTGTTTCAGGTTCTCCACCTTGTACAGAGTGGAAAAAATAAGGTAACAGTCTTATGTAAAGAGGAGTGATATTTATGTTTTGTATTGCTATCCTGCCATCATTCCTTCAAGGAGCCTGAGGTGGCTTATGTAGCCCTACTCTCCATTTTATCCTGACAACAACCCTGGGAGGTAGGTTAGGCTGAGAGAAAGTGACCACCCAAAGTTTCATGGTCAACAGTGGAGCTCCAATACTCTAGGCTCTATACTACTTTGACTCCTGCATGTTTTCTTCATGTGAATATTATAAAATTTGTGTCTATTCCACCCATTCCCAACCTTCTACCTGCCAGAAATAGTTGACTGCAACTCCCATCATCCCCAGACCATTTGTTCCTGGATATGGGAATTACAGTCCAATGCATATGGAGGACATCTGGTTGGGAAGCCTGGTCTGTTATTTCTTCTTCCCCTGGGTGCTTCTGTCCAAAACCAAGAATATTGGCACTTTGTACATTAGGAAATGGAACCCAAAGTAACAGGACTCAGTAGAAAATGGTGCTCTAGTCAGTGACTGAAAATGGACAGTGTTATGTTCTTAAACCTGTTGTGAGCAGTATCCAAAGCTCCTGGCCCTTGTTCATGGCAATGCAGCCTTGGAATGTTCAGCTGGACACTTCTTCTATCCCTGTCTTGCCTGGATAATGCAATCCAGGCTTCCAAAAGTTTTGGACTATGAATCGCATTAGCTCTTACTATTGGTCATGCTGGCAGGGGCTGATAAGATCTGTAGTCCAGGGGCACCAAGTTGCCTACTTCTCTTGTTGGCTGTAAACCTTGTTAAAATTATGGGCAAGTTCATCCTGCTAAATTAAATTGTTTCAGCTGTCATACCGCCTTCCTAGGAAAGCATGGGAATTGCAGAGAGTTGGTGCTGGTGGTAGCTAAGGGATTTCTAAGAGAATTCTCAGTAAGATACGACTTCTGCCCATGCTGGCTAAGGAATGCTGGGAGTTGTAGGACTTTTAAAATAAATGTAAACATGCCCTGAATCATGAAATGACAGCTCCCCAGATTTGTGGAGGAGCCATGACACTTAAAATATCATGACATTAAATGTGTTTGTGCAGTAAGCCAGGACCTTTGATGGATTTTAGATCATGATGGAATAATGGATTTTCTATGGGCTATTTTTAGTTCATTTTTCCAGTGATAGTTTATTGACTTCAACTAGAGGTTCTGCTAATTGCTGGCTTGTTGGGTTGTCCTAGACCCCTGCAGGCAGCAAGAAGGTATTCTGAAAGCAGTTTCAGTGGCAATGTAAACATTTGAATCTGAGTCTCTTGTGCTGCAAAAGTGAGCTGTAATCTTCTTCTTGCCTCTTCAGTGCCTCCTAAAGCCTGGGAAAATCCCTTGAAGTGGGAACTGAAGAGCCCCAGGGAGCCTGGGGTCAGGTTCAGGCCTCCGGTTATGAGCCAGCCATATTGATACTGGGCTGCTTTGGAGGCCCTGAGGAGCTTTGCTTCTGTTTGATGGAATGACAGCTGGTATGCTCAATGCTGTTTTGTTCCCTGGGGATATTGGCTTTGTGCCATGTGAAGACTGACACAGTATTTGAGTGCTGGAGAGGAAGTAGAGGCAGGGATAACAATTTGCTTTTCAGAGGGTTGTTTTTTTGTTCCATTATGGGAGCTGTATTTTTGTTCTTACTGTCTACACTACTGACTAGTTGCTAATTTCTTGTACCCAGGAACTTTTAGCTTCTTCTGGGGAGGGTTATCCTGGAACCTTCAAAGTCTTCCCATTCTGGCTACCTTGGCTTATCACTGATGGCTGAGGGTCCTTTGTTTGCCATAAGGTGGCCAGATGCAGTAATATGCAGGTTCCTGAATCTCTTCACAGTTGCATTGATGAGGGGACTGGCATGTATTTATGACTTCTGCAGCAACGCCACATAGACGATGTTTTCCAGAGTAACTTGACCAGAAAGGGCAAGCCCTTGTTCTGACTAGCTTACGGTTTAGATTTCAGCAATAAGGGAAGATGCAAAGGAACAAGCGTAACAAGGATGGATCTCAGCAAATGAATTTTTATGTGCTGGTGGCGGGGAGGGAAATTTGCCCACAGGAAAAGTCCATCCAGGAGGTTGGGGGGCCTGTAGCCGATCTGTGAGTGCAGATAAGAAGGCATGTTCATATGGAGAGCCACAGAGGTGGGATGGGATTCTCAGTGTCCAGGAATGCATTTGGTGTCCAGGTCTGAGGTTCTACATCCCTGGCCTAATGTTAGTGTAGCCTTTTGCTCTAGGTCTGTAAATCTTTTAGGCCCTCAGGAATGACTCTTTCTGTAGTTCATAAATGTACTGCATAGATCACATCAAGAACATAAGAGGCTTCTATGTATAGGACGTGATATAAATCTTTTCAATAAATAAAGAGCCATGCTGGAGCAGAGCAAAGTGTTCTGTTTATGCAGTGGTCACCCAGCAGCCTGCAGAAAATGCAGAACAGCAGCTTCACATTTTCCTAGCCACTAGAGCACGAAAGTTTACTGCTACTGATACCGGCTGTAGTTTACCCTATAACATGTGGAGCACTTTGCTGTCCTCCATATGTTAATAAAGAGGAAACACAGCCCTAATTTTATGTTCTTGGTAGAGATCTTGTTTCAAGCATGCACTGAAAAGGCAGCATTGCTTGCTGGTGGAACAGACTGGTTAAAGAAGTCTGCAGTGCAGAAGAATTTCTTACTGCTTATCTTCTGCATGTACCCCCAGGGCCTGAGGAAATGGTCAGCCAGGTGGACAACCTCTTGGAGGCAGAAGAGGAAGAAGGTGCACTGTGGGAGAAGATTGAGAGTGTGCGGCACCAGCTCACCCGCTCTCTGAACCCAGCAAAGCTGACCCCGTACCTGCGGCAATGTCGTGTGATTGATGAACAGGACGAGGAGGAGGTGCTGAGTGCCTTTCGGTTTCCTTGCAAGAGCAACCGGACAGGTGGGAGAAATGAAGAACTTAACCTGCAATATACAGAAGTGATGGTGGGGAAAGCCTCATTGGCTTATAGATGGAGTGATATGGGGGATGTGTTTTCAAGGAAGTAAAGAAAGGACATTGAGTTCTGGCTTTCTGGCAACTGGGGCTCATTGATGCATGTCTCTGAGTGGCTGGGATGTATCTGTTCCTCTGCGCGCTCAGGATACTTGGTGAGCACTGATGGACCTGGGTTGGCATGCAAAGTATGGAGTAGCTCATATTGTGGCAGTGCTTCTTCCAGCTCCCCCTAACCCGCTATCTTCTAGATGGGATAGATTGCAACTCCTATCAGCCCCAGTGAGCATGGGCATTGCACACACAGGTGATTGGGAGGAAAAAGGTATATTTCAGTAATGGGTTGATTACCCACCAGCTCTGTGCAATGTTTTCATACAGGGATAAACCAGGATGTGATGCACACACGGTGTTCATGTGTTAGGGATTGTCTAAGTGGGATCTCCATGGATGGGAGAGCACGAAAAAGCTAACAAGCTGGGTGCTAACTTGATGAGGTTGCCCAGGCAAAGTACCTGGCACTTGCAACCTATGCATGTGGTTGTGTGGTTACGAGTGTATCAACACTGTGGTCTTCCTTATGTTGGTTGGTTTATATAAGTATGGAAAGTTTGCAGTGCACTGCCTCAGGCACAAGTTTGCTTTGGCTTCCCCTTGGACCTCTGGTCAGCAGGAGGCTTTGATTCAGTGTTATTCCAACATCCCTTGTTCCCCAGTGCTGTCTCCTTTGGGCCTTCAGGGAAGTCCTCTTTAATCCTCTTCCTGAACAGCTTTAAATGCCTGATTTCTTCTCCTGTTGCTTCTGCCAAGTGGCCCAAGGCATTGGCCTGAAGCCACATTCTACGCATGGATCCCAGACACATGCATCCATGATCCCACCTTGTTTTTTCCTCATTATTTACAGAACATCTTCATATGAAACAGATTTAAATTTCCTGTGTATGCCTTTTCCCTTCAGCAAGTTCTGGAGGGATGTCCTGATCCTTCTTTTTGAAAGATGGAGAATATAATTAACTTGAACTGTGATCTCCTAGATCCAACAAACTCTGCAAGCCCATGCAGCTTTTGGGGAGTGGCAATGGGTTGCACTAGGGAGGCCTGTGTGGGCCCTTCCAGCTCTATGATTCTAGGACTGTATGATTCTACCTGTGGAGGATGTGGTACCAATTAGTTTTGTGTCAGCATCTTTTTCTGCCTGCATCTGCTCCTGCAGGACTCCTCATGGATATCCTTCGAAGGCGAGGAAAACGAGGCTATGAAGCATTCCTTGAGTCCCTGGAGTTCTATTACCCTGAACATTTTACCCGGCTAACAGGGAAGCAACCTGTTCAGCGTTGTTCTATGATCCTGGGTAAGACATTGCAAGATGTTTCTAAATGTTTCTCAGAGAAGCTTCATCCCTCCTTGGAGTAATCCCAGCATATGCATGATGGACTGGGCTTTCTGCTGATGCATGGAATTCACCTGAATTCCACTGACCTGCATTGTGCTTGAACTCCTAGACTTCCTGTTTTTCTCGCCTCACCATCTTTTTATAAAATGCCTTCTCAACCATATAAAGGAAGGAAGTGGCTGCAATTTATAATATTAAACATGCCAGATCTACATGCTTAGCTAAGCCAGCTCTAAAAGAGGAGCCAGTTAAGTCACGTTATGCTCAAAAAGAAGGAATAAGCTTGACTCCGCAGGGGTTGTCCTCACTAGTTTAGGGTCCGCATTTGCAAACTGAGTCAAGATATCAGGATTGTGCTTCTGTCCCTATTGAGCCCCTTTCCCCTTGCAGCCCTGATTTGTCATCACACTGTCATCTGCAAAAGCATACCTTTTTTACCATTCTGGCAGGCAAAATCTTATAAGGAGACCAGAGCAAACGCACAGAGCAAGTTTTATGCCTAAAAATATGTTTCTGTGCATTTTATTTTCAGTTTTTTTGGCTACATGGAATTTGAACTTTTTGAGTGCAGAGTTGAAGTTTTTGAGTGCATCACAGCATGGAGCAAAAATTAGATTATGGGGATGTATTTATGATAGAAATATGCATGTATATGCCCTGTTTCTCATTCCCTTTTTCTCTTTCTCTCTCCCTCTAGTTAGAAGAGGGTAAGTAAAAATAGTTTTGGGTAGCATAGAACTGAGTGTGATCATGTAGGGATACACACACACGCATTTGAGAAGACTGGGACTTTGGAACCTTGTACAGTAAACATAAGCTTCTGATGTCTCTGGCACAGCAGCTGTTCCACCAAGTTCAAGAGCTGATTTATTCTTTCAAACACCATTTTGAGTGTGTTTGCAGCAGTCAACATCTCAAAGTGTGGCATATACGTGCATGTTTATAATTGTGTGTGTATGTATGCATGTGGGGAGAGCATGATGAACATGATGAACACATGCTGGGGTATTTTGATGGGCCTGCATTTTCCAGCACACGCCCCAGGTGTGCTTACAAAGGCACATCTCTGCTGGATAAGATAGGAACATGCTAAGCCAGCTTATGGGTGATCCATCTAGCCCAGCATTGGCAGTGGCTCTTCAAGCTTTCAAGCAAGATCTATTCCCAGGCCTGCTTGGAGATGCTGGCGATTGAACCCAGAACCTTTTGCATGCAGAGCAGATGCCCTGCTGCTGAGCTGCAACCTTGACCACAAAAAGCCACAGTCCCTGAGTTTATTGGTGCAAACACAAGCAGACATGTGGCAACTGTGCTTGTCATACAGTGTGTGAATTCTGCCCTGGATGAGAATCCATATGTCCAATTTGCTCACCATTCTTTTACAGACGAGGAAGGCCCTGAAGGCCTGACTCAGTTCCTGATGATGGAGGTCAAGAAGGCGCGGGCCCAGCGAAAAGGACACTTGGCAAAAGAGTACCAGCTCCAGGTGAAGAACGAGGCTTTGGAGGAGGAGAGTGCCCAGCTGAAGCGGCAGCTCCAGGAGCTGCAGAAGGTGCAGGAACGTTGCCGGCGGTTGCAGGAGGAGTGGGACTCCAACAGTCTGGAGCTGCTGAGGCTGAAGGATGAAAACTATCTGCTGGCCATGCGCTATGCACAGCTGTGTGAGGAGAAAAATGCGGCCATCCTTCGAAGCCGGGACCTGCAGCTGGGGGTATGGTGAGCCGTGGGGGCGGGGCTGGCGGAGAGAATGAGCAAGTGCATGTCAGGAGTGTCGAAACTCTGTCAGTCTGAGGGCCAAATTCCATTTTGCAGGCGCTGGTGAGGGCCGGTGCTGCGTGGGGCAGAAGAGGCAGGGCCAAGCATACTAACAGATTAGGCTAAAGCTTCTGCTGGCAGGAGCAACGCCTTAGGCCTTAGGAGAGGCGTTTCAGGCTTTTGCAGATGGGATGGGGAGGAGAGACTGCGCAAAGGGCAGAAGCCACCAAGTGATGATCAGTCACCTGCTGGAAGAGCAATGTGGGAACTGTCTGGGGCTGTGGGATAAAGGGTGAGGTCATTTTGGAGAACCTTGCAAGGACCCCAGGAGGGCCTAAGATTCTACAGCCTGGTGTATATACATGACTGCAGGATGGTGCAGGGGTTAATCAAGGTCACTTCCCGTTGCCAAAAGCAATGCAGCATTGCTTGCATGGGCGCAGCTCTTGTTTTAGACTCATTAGTTCCAGCCTCTCAGCAGCTCCTTTAAAAGGGAAGAGGGAAAAAAAGCTAAGGCCTGCTCTTGTCTGTGTTTCATCCTGAGTGCTTCATTGTTCAGACTGTCTGACTTCGCTTCTCGGCTTCTGTTGGCCTTCCCCTCTCTACACCTGGGGGAGCCTCTTTTTGGAGCCTTGTTTTTCTGCTGAATCCATTGCCACACCTTCCAAGCTGCCCTAGTTTGTTCCAGTTTGAGTCATTGAGGCTTTCTGATATGCCAGTCAATCTGAGTCCACAAAGGGAACATTTTATTCCTTAAAAAACACACTGCTCTGCTGTTAAGACATCAGACAGTGTGCTCTGACAGTCCCACCAGACCATGTTCTTGCACTGTCTGAGAAACCTTGTAGCTGCTACACAGGATTTGGTATTAGGATTTCATGCCTGTGATCTTGTACTAGCTGTGAGATGTGAAATTTTATGCACATGCTTGGAAATTGCAGGTGCTTTTTCTGGAAAAGACTCAGGTTGGAAGTTTTTGATCCAGGTTTGGAACAACTTGTTGCCCTGACTTGTCAGGGACTGATCATGTATGTTGCGTTGCATGTATTCACAAACCTGCATATTTGCAGTTCACAGGAATACAAGTTGCTTTATACTGGATTATTCTTGAGATGCTTCCAGTTAACCAAAAGAATTAAAATGAGCACTGTTCTACCCCTGCTAATCCAGAGGTGATTATCTCTGATCACTGGGTCTAGTGATCAAGCACAATATGACCATGCAAGTGGTTACTAGCCTTCACTACTCTGTGCAGTTCTGGAATAGCTAGAAGTAGAAGCTGGCCTTTACAAGGGTTGGCTGCCCTTTTCAGCACTCATAGTACACCTCTCTTACAACTGCAACTTGCAAGATTCACTGCACTGATTTTCAGGTGGTGGCAGCAGATGAAGCATTGCCAATTTTATCAGGTTTCCCCCCTTAGATATTGCTATGTGTTCAATAGGATTTTCTCAATTGGCTACTAAAGAAGGGGAAAGACTTTGTCAGTTTCAGTGGAGCGTTAAAACAAGGACTTATGGAGAACACAGGGATGGAGTAGTTTGAGATTAACTTCTTTGGACTTCTCAAGAATAAATGAGTAGTCTAGTAGTGTATATACAAGGGAAATGTTTTAAGTGGTGCTGAGAAAATGTTATTAATACAGTGGGTTTTTAAGTCCTGGGGCTAAGGCTTTCCACAATCATGTTCTTGCATGAAGGCTAGTCGATGCACATCCTTTGGGAAGACATGTTGGTGCAAATACAATGATCAGCATTGAATGATTGAATTCTGTCACTTTGATTTTTAATCTGAGCTTGCCTAGTCAGGTAGCTGGACATTGTGGAGTGTCTTCCTTGTTGAAGTTTTACCTGAGATCATCTCCCACCTCAGGGCAACATCCATCCTTCTTGAAATCCCAACGCTTGTCTGAGTGTAGAGCAAAACTCATCCATGGAGAGTTGCACCAGAATTGTTTTCGATTGGTAGGAACACTGGAAGCTGCATTGAACCAAGTGAAATGGTTTGTTTACCTAGTCCATTATTGTCTGTTTCAACCAACTGGCAGAAACTTTCCTGATTATATTAAGCAGCGATGCTCAGCTTTGAACTAGGAGCCGTCTTCACACAAGGCACATCCTCTGAACTGTGGTTCCCCTCCAGTATCTTCTCTCCAGATAAAACTTTCCCTAATTTTCCAAATATGCCTGGCCTTCTCCCCAACCCTGACCTTTCCCTTCAAATTCTTTCTCAGAACCCTTGTCTCCTTGTGCCTCTCTTTTGCTTTTCCCTAAGTACTCCCCGTTCCAGGGCTCAAATTACAGCTAATCTTAGCATATGTACAAGCTGCTCTCCTTCTCTTTCCTTTTATTGTATCTTTCCTCTTATTTTCTTGTATTCTGCAGGAAGTAAGAGTGGCTGGTTATATTGTTCTCTAAAGGTCCATGCATAGTGATGATGCTGTAAAAATGATAGTGGCACCCCTAGTCCTTGTTGCTCAGGTCTGATCCCTGCAGTCACTTCCAGAGTTGCTCTGTGAAAGCACGGGTACAATGTCCAAGACACTTCCTTAACCTACTTCAGATGGAACTAAACAGGCTGCATTGGGATTTCAGTTGTGGCCAGGGTTGGTCCACGGCCTTTTGTTGCCTAAGGCAAAGGGCAAAGTAGTGCGCTCAGTTCCACAGAGAGAAGCTAACCTGGCGGTTGCATCTGCCTCCTCCATCCTTCCCGGGGAGAGCAAGATCACTCTGGCTGGGGGCAGCAACTGCTGGAGTCAGGTTCCCCGCAACTCACTGGAGACTGCCTACCATTCACCATCACACTTTCCTCAGAACTGGTGGTATGAAGGCAGGAGCATATAGAAGCTGGTCAGTTTGATTGAGTTGGTGCAGTGACAGATTTGTTTTAGATATCTCTTAAAAAGACTGGAGAGGCCCTCCTGCTGCCAAAATTTAATGGAAAGCTTAGATGTTTTTCTTTTGTTGGTGTCACTTACCATAGAAAATTAGGGGCAGCTGTGGGGCTGCATGTGGCTTATGGGTTCTGAGTCCATAGAATCATAGACTGGTGGAATTGGAAGGGGCCAGAAGGCCATTGGGTGGACCCTCTGCTCAGTGCAGGACTCCCAAGTTACACCAAATGCTTTTTGAATGTCTCCAGTGAGGGAGAGCCCAAAACTCCCCCAGCTAATAGGTTTCATTGTTGTACTGCTCTGACAGTGAAGAAATTCTTCCTGGTGTCTAGTCTAAGTCTGGTTTCTTTTAGCTTAAGTCCATTATTTCATATCCTGTACTCTGGAATGGATGTGAAACGACCTTGTCCTTCCTCTTTGTGACAGCCTTTGAGGTACTTACAGAGTGCTATCATATTACCCCTCAGTCTTCTTTTCTTGAGGCTGAACATACCTAGTTCTTGCAATCTTTCCCCATAGGGCTTCACCTCCAGTCCCTGATTCATCCTTGTTGCCCTCCTCTGTACCCTTTCTAGCTTTCCTGCAACTTTGTAAAACTTAGGTGCCTAGAACTGGGCACAGTACTCCAGGTGTGGTCTGACTAGTGCTGAGTGTAGGGAAGCTAGTACTTCACATGTTTTGGAAGTGATACTTATTTATTATTTTATTTTATTAAAACATTTCTATGCCTCCCCATTCGCCAAAGCCGCGGGGCAGCTCACAACATTAAGTTAAAATACAAACAATAAGTTAAAACAACTTAACATAACATTAAGTTAAAATGCTTGTAAAATACAAACATTAAGTTAAAATACAAAAAATAACAATATAAAATAAGTCGCCTTGGCCAGATAAAATCAAATAATATTAACAATTAAAATGACGCTTAAATAAAAAGGTCTTTGCCTGGCGCCGAAAAACAAATAACGACAAATAAATAACAACAATTAACAAATACTTCTGTTAATGCAGTCCAAAACAGCATTTGCCCTTTTTGCAGCTGCATCATGTTGTTGGCTCATATTTAGCTTGTGAGCTACAACAACCCCAAGATCCTTCTCAATTGCGGTACTTTGGAGCCAAGCGTTCCCCATCATTTATGCTGCCCATTCCTGGTGTAAGAGGTGCAGGGTAAGCTGTGCTGCTCATACAACTCAGAACTGGAAGCTTCACCACAGCTCCCTGCCTGCCCATGTCTGTCATCTGACATGGCCGTACCACTCTGCCAATTGGTAGAGCCAGACCTCAGCAGCATGCCATTTTGTGTGGGATCCATGCTCCACAATGGGGGAAGTGTTTCTGGGTTGTGCTTCTGTGCACATTTCTGCTCTGGGAAGCACATGTAACATCATTTGTCTTATATTATTCCAGTTATTCCAACATTTTTCCTCCTGTGTCCCTAAAGGTATAGGGTTTAGCAACTTTTAAAAATTTCAATAAAAATAGCAGTACTTCTTAGCATTTTATGTGAGGCCTGAAGGCATGCCTATAGCTACACCCAAGGCATGGTCCTGTGGGAATACCTGTAACGCTCTGAAGTTGGAATATCTGGAGCATTCTGTGACCAAGAGGAACATGGAAGTGAAGGTTGCCTCTGTGTTCCCATCTCTTGGTGAAATTAGATGACCAGTTTCATTTATCAGCTATAATTGAATGAAGCCACAGTTAAAGCATCTGTCCTACTTATTTCTTGTTGCTAAAATGTATGCTTGTACGAACTGGGGTGTGCGTGTGTATAAGAGATGAAGGTAGTGAAAGTTTGACATTCCTGAGATTCTTGAACCACAATATTGATCTTTTCCATGTAGGTACCAATGGCAAAGTATTCTGTCTTCTGGTTTGAGTGTGAAAGTGTGCATGCAAGCATATAGCAGGCTTAATCCCCCTTTGTCTTCTGAGCATTTTTCTAAGACTTTAGCTAGGCAATCCTGGCTAATGCCTTCTCAGTGACTGTGCAGGTTCTCTGTGTGAAGCACAGCCCAAGATTCACTTAGCTAGAGGGTGGGTGGGAGAACAGAGTGCTCACATGACAAACCCCCAGCCTAGGCAGATTTTTTCACTCTAGATAGTTGAAGGAATGTATGGGACCATGCCTTGGTTTCCTTGCTTTTGTTCTGGGCAACTGACACACCTATTTCCGCTGTCTGTCTGCGCCGGGATCGCTCCATCATGAGCTCACCTGTTCATAACTGTGCTTAGATTACAAGCCTTCTGAAGTTGCTGTAGGGCCGGTCTCTGGCATGGGAAATTCTAATCACAGACTTCTCACTCACCACTGTCTTGCAGTACAGCTTTCCTTCTCACTCCTAAATTTATATCCTTCCCATTCACTTATATCTTAATTTCTCTCTGAGCTTTCTGTTGTGGCAGTGCAGGAACGAAGTGGAAGTGGGCCTAGAGAGAGAGCAGGAATGAGTGGGTGAATTAATATCTCAGTAGGCTGTTGTTGCTTAATTTGGGCCAAAATGCCGCCTGTTTTCAGCACTCAATTTGTACAGCTGAATGTTACTGCTTTGTTCTTTTTTGTGAGGTAACAACAACATCTGGTTCTTGCAAACACATTTTCCACACAGTGTAACTCCTGCTCAACAGAGATATGCAGGCATATGCAATAGAATCCATCTGTTGTATAGGTTCACAGTTACCCAGGACAATCTCATATGTTCACCAGGAGCTCAGTGGAACAGCACATGCTTTCTAGGTTCTAGGTTCAATCCACCAAAGCTCCAGGCAAGCCTGGAAAAACATTCTACCTGAAACTTTAGAGAGCCTCTGCCTAACAGTGTTGACTATATTGGATCAGATGGACCAGGGACGTGACTTCCTTTGTTCTAAGGTTTGGCCCTTTCAAAGTTAGAACAGCTCTGCAGTCCTCACAGCTCCTTCTGCAAAGCCATAACACTGAGACTGGCTTATGTAATGGGGCATGGCTGTGCCTTGGATGACTCAAAAAGGATCACTGCATTGCTGTGCATTGTTCCTTCTCTCTCCATCCTGCCCAGCTCTGATTGCCGCTCGCTTCCTCCACCTGCTGCAACTCTCCATCTGGTGTTGCAAACCAGGCTTCCTCAATCTGTCATCTTCCGGGTGTGTGGGACTGCATCTCCCATCAATGGCCGTGCTGGCTGGAAATGTTGGTAGTTCCAGGCCACCACATCTGGGGGATGCTAGGATCGTTTCTGGGAATCTCTGTCGCTACCTTGCAGTGTAGTTTTCTGTTTGTTCCTTGAAGGGATATCCTTTCTCGAATTCTCACACATTCCTTACAAATGGCAGTTCTAGGAGTGCATCCTCCCAGGTATGATGTTGTGGTCAAAGGCTCAGGTCCACAGGCTTATTTTGTATATCATGGCAAGAGTTCCCTCACACTACTGGAAAATAGGACAAATCTGTGCCTGTCTTATGCACCTGGAGCTGGGGAAGGTGGATCAGCCCTGAGCTTGTGCTGTGCTGTGGAGGCACCGCAAGCATCCAAGAAGATACTGCTCCTCCCTTGCTCCTTTAGCTGCCAATAAGCATCAGTAAGTAGGCATGAAAAGGAAGGGAAAAAGTCCTATTCTTATAGCATTCTGATCATGAATCCTGTAGAGTGGAGAAAACACACAAAAGGATAAATAATGGGCTTCCTGAGGCATTTATTGTGCACACCTTTCCTTGCTCACGGTTGCTAATGGATTATTTAGATGATGTCGTGACCCTCCAGTTTTGCTTCTGTGTCTAACCAGAACTTCTGGCGAGTTTTTCTTACAGCAGAAAAATGCAGCATTTCACTGTGAAATGAAAGAAAGTGCAATTTCCTGTTGTGCATTCTTGCTTTTCCACTACATCGCTCTGCTACCTAGAGGTTCTCTATTATCCTTATCATCCACATTACATTTATATCCCACCTTTTTCCTGTTGTGAGGAGCTCAAGGCAGCTTACATTGTTCTCTACTCCATTTTTATCTTCACAACAACCCTGTGAGGTAGGTTAAACTGCAAATGAGTGACTGGCCCAAAGTCACCCAGTGAGCTTCATGACTTAGTGAGGACTAGAACCTTGATTTCCTGGTCCCCATTCTGACACACTACTTGTCATACCACACTGACTCCTGGTGGAAAAGCAGGAAAGGCAATGCTTCTTGTATAATGTTCATTTCTCAGTTCTATGATAAAACCAAAGTAGATACAGTGGATTAGCAACCGATTAACACTCTTGAGTAGATTAGTTTAATTTGCTCTTTTTGTTTTGCATAAGTCTTTCTTCCAAATATCCTTTCTTCTTAAGTGATCCTGAATGTGTCCTCAAAAAGTGAAATGATTGTATGGAAATCTTATATCCTTCTTTAGATGAGCTGCAGTACAACTCCCATCACCCCCAGCCAGTGCTGCTAATGACCGTGCTGGCTGAGGATAATGGTATTTGTGGTCCAATACATCTGGAGGACACTGTCTTCCAGGACACTCTGTACACCTTGAAGCTCTGTCTCCAGAAATGGCAGATGAGTCGTTGGGTCAGAAATTCACTCTTTCCATGCTCAGATGTATTCCCTTTAAAAAAGTTATGTGTTTTAAGGACAAGCTTTCACATTCAAAACCTGTTCTGGAGTTGGCCCCTTTCCAAGCTAAGCCCCGTGTGTCCTCCTCCTGCTGCTTCCCTAGCACTGGTCAGTGCAGTGGCTCTGAGCCATCTTTGTTTCCTGCACCTTTCAGGTAGATCAACTGAAATGCAGAGTCAGTGGCATGGAGGAGGAGTGTGCCTTGCTGAGGAAACAGGCCCTGGCAGCTCCCCAGCGAGAAGTGGAGGATCACAGCCTTGCCGATACTGTCTCTGAGCTGCGGGCTGAGAACCAGCGGCTGATGACTTCACTTCAGGAGCTGCAGAATGCAGTGCAGGTACCTGTCGAACACGGGTGTTTGCCTGGATGCCAGCACACGGGAAAACGGGTTGCATCACCGCCAGTATCTCTGCTCTGGCATGTAAGCTTCTCCTGGATGGGGAGAGCCACTGGCCGGTTCACATCACTGCTGCAGCTTGTTGAAGCTGTGGTGAATCGCGGTGTGTGGCAATGGCTATTGTGAATATTCAGGCCACAAGGAGGATCCACTGGGACAGATTGTGATGCCTGAATCTAGTAAACGTGGGTTGTTGGGCTGCTGCTGTGGTTAGCAGACCACCCATCAGCCATGAGCTGGAACCGGAACCCAGAGGGCACCTTTGACCCACAAAGCCTGGATCCATTTTACCTGCAGAACCACAGGGGCCCAGAAGGTTATTCATTTGTTGCCATTCTGTACCATCCAACAGCTAAAGCTCTCTGGGCAGTTCACAAAATGAAACCTTGGAACTGTATCATACACAAACATAATGGGTGGGTTCACATGACACATTAATCCCTCCTGAGAATTTTATCGTGTGCTACAGGTAAAATTCTCTTGCTGATGCTAAAAGGAGACAGGATTGCTCCTGAGCAATTGTACTTTCCCTCCTGCATCAGCAGAAGCCTGGGAGAAAATGATGGCAGCCATGTTTTGCCAGCTGTAATCTTTTAGAGTTCCTTGATCAGAACTACAGCATTTTTTGTCCTCTCTGACCCAGGGACTCTTGAACATGTTGGTTTGACAATGACTTACCTGCAGTGGGTTATTTAAACCCTACAACCATTCATGGGCAATGGGGAGGGACTTTTAAAAGCCACCCCAAAGGAGCAGTGCTGGCTTTGAGCAACTTTTCAACTCACTGTGGCTTGTAATATTATAAGTCATGTTGAGTTACTGTCTATCCAAACCCAGTCAATGTAACAACCTAAGTTCAGAATGGAATAAATCAAAGCAGAAACCAGTAACAGTGCAAAATTTTAAAAGTGGCAACATGGTTTTTTTTTAAAGCTGAAGGACTAAAAACCCTGGGAGAATAAAAAGTGTCTCGCCTTGTATTGAAGAGCACCACAATGTAGGTGCCAGGCAAGCCTCTCGGGGGCGCATTCCACAAGCGGGATGCCACGGCTGAAACAGCTTTCAGCTTGGTAGTTGTCCAGCTTGCCTCATTTGCCAAGGGCACCCAGACAAAGGCCCCTGAAGATAGTCTTGTACTCTGATCAGGACTATATGATACTTCTGGAGCTGGACTTTTGCAGAACCTTTTTTGAGACACCCTCTCACAGTGTCCTGGACTATCTTGACATGTGATTATTATGCCTTGTCTTTGCAAAACATGTCACGTTCTCCTCACATCTTTCACACACATCTTTCAGGGCTCACATTCTACCTCAGTATCCCCTCAACTGGGCATTTCCCATGCTTTGCTTCAGAAAGGGAGATGTGCAGAAGAGAGCAACTTTCTACAGCAAATAGCCTATCCCAGCTAGGTGCTCTCCACATATTACGCAGGAGATGAAATATAGTGCCTCCAGTGCTGGATCAGGGCCAGGGTTCGTAAAATGCTAAAAATAAAATATGTTTAAAGGAAGGGCCTCTGGTGTTGGCTCAGACGCTGCTAAAATACCGATGGATGGTGTGAACAGCTGTGGATTTCAGCTGTTCAAGTGAGGGAGACTGCTTGCTGGTATCTGGTGCAAAATCCTCTCCATCTTACTTATGGATAATATGTGGACGTGTCATTTTAGAGTGTTACTCTGTTTGTGTTTTTAAAAGGTATCCTATATTTCAGAACTCTAATGGTTTCTGACATCTCTTATTTGTTAATGCTGTTTCTACAACTTTATCTCATAACTTCATGACTTGTGTTACTTCTTAAATCCTGGAGAAAACTGCTTAAATATGTTCTCAGTTCAAAATTCTGTCTCTCTGTCCCCATAAAACCTTGAGGCTTAACCAGAAGAATATATAAATTTTACTTGGGAAGGGAGTGGGGAAAAAAGGGGAAAAAGAAAGAAGTTGACTCAGAATGCAGCATCTGGATACAATCAGTTATATAAATCTATTACATGCTCAGCAAAATGTTGATACTGCCATTATACTGTATAATTTTGACTTAGAGTGGTTTCAGAACTGGTCCCATAAAGTATGAAATTATAATGTTTTTATCTTGGAAGACATGAGCCCATTTCTCCGTGTTCATAATGAGCCATAAAGCATCGCTTAGTTATGACATTTTGACTGTACAGTGTCAATCTGACACAGCTTGGCTCTTTAGTTCATCTTGGAGAGAGAATCATATTTTTCCCTGCTCTGAGCCCTCATATCAGTCATTTATAATTTGGTCAAGACTACAGCTGCCAGCTCTGATCTGGGCTCTACATTATCTGATTTGAATGCCACTGTGGTTCATTGGTTCTAGCAGCTTTCCCCATTCTAGTGCCTTGCAGAGGTTTTGAACTTGTACTCCCATCAGTCACAGCTAGTATGCCTGATGGTCAGGTTTGCTGGGAATGGTAAGCCAAAACCCCTGAAAGGCACCAAGCTGGGAAAGCCTGAGTTGAACCAGGCCGGAGAAGAAGTTGCAAATCCCCACTCAACCACAAAAGCTCACTAGGTCAATATATTTTGACCTCACCTACTTCATAGGGTGGTTGCAAGAATAAACATATGGAATGAGTGGAAGATAAAATGGAGGAGGGAACAACCATGTGCCCTGCTTTAATCCCCTTGGAAGAAGTTGGGAAGGAAAGAGGCAGTTGTTCTTGGCGTGCATTTCAGGGTGACATGGACTCTTCAGGTGAGGAGGGTGGGGCCTGGGAAATGAGCCCTCCAGACATAGAAATGGCAGAGGGGAAGAGCTTATCTCAGGGCCACGGTTTCCAGGTGTTCAGGGTGTGGAAGAGCTGGGAGGGGGCAGGGGAGAGGAGGGGCTGCATACAGCTGGGGGGCTGGCCTGTCTCCAGAGGGGTGGGGTCAAGGGCTACTCGAAAGGAGGGCTCTTAAAAATAGTTTCTAGGATGGGTTTGGCAAACCGCTCTGTGCATGCTCTGAGACCTTTTCTTAGCTGGCTGTAGATTGCTGATTGTACCTTGGAAGTAAAGAACTTTTGTCATCAAACAGCAGTCTGTTGCTTTGAAAGAGAGAAGGGGGAACCTAGTTCCCAACAACAGGTGAGATCTGCATGCTGTAAGCAACGAAACAATCCATTGATGGCTGTTGGAACTTTGCTGGGGTAACTCATTGTTGCAGTGTCCACCTCTACCATCATGCTGGAAACGGGACGGCTGGGGAGCTTCCACACTGATGTTGGACACCTATATGAACAGCTAGGTCTGGCGCATAAACGCTCCTGGTCATGGAGAGCCTCTATAGACAGGCAGTGCGACTCGTCACAGTGAAGAGCAGAGTCAGGGTGGCCAGCCCAACCATTAGGCGTGGCGAGGCTGATGTTTCAGGCAGCTGATTTCAAAGGGCAGCAAATGTGTTAACTGTTGTTGTTGAGCAGGGCTTTTCTGCCTCTCTCCCTAAGCAAAAGTGAAGGGACCCCTAACCGAAATATCTCAGTAGCACCCACAGCAGGCTCAAAGTCCCCAAATTCTTTCTTGGGCAAGGGGAAGCCTCGGTGGTTAGAGGGGCAGAAGTCTCTGTGAAGGTGCAGTGTGGACGTGCCTGTGGGAGAGGACCTGAACACCCGCAATGGATGGGCGTGGAACACGCAGGGCAATTTTTCTGTTCTGGCGTTCCCGAAGGAGATACGGCGGATTGCCCCGCTGTTCTGACTGCTGCCCTTTGCCCAGTTCATCAGGTTCTCCTTGATGCAGCTCATCCCAGCATCAAGTCATGGTGCTCTTTTGTTGCTTAGAAGGCAGGTGAGGGCCAAGTGCCGGGCTCTGAGAGGATCCTGCTAGATATTTTGGAGCACGACTGGAAAGAGGCACAAGCTGACCGACAGGAACTGTGTCAGAAACTGGATTCTGTGCAAAATGAACTGCAGTGGGCAGAGGAACTGAGAGATAAGGTAAGATGCACTGGTGAAGTTTTAGGCTTTTAACTAGCCAGATCCTTTGCAGTTCCTTTCTAAGAAAGATTGGCTTCTTCACATTCTCCCCCTCCCCCAGGGCTTTCCTTTCTCTGCCTTCCTCTGTTTTCTTTTACCTGACAACTTGCTGGCACAACAGAATTGTGCAAATGCCCCAGAGTTTCATGCCACCATCCCCATATATACCAGACTTTACATCTTAAGGGGGAAAACACTAAAATCATTGTTAAGCATGAGAGAGGCCCTGGGGGAGGAAGACATTGTGTAAAGCTCTTGTAAGTGACGAACTGTGAATGCACAATGAATGCCATGTGTAGAAAGGTTGACAAATTCCCCACTGGGGTTAGGATGTATTCAATCTTTAATGCAGGGCTGGGGAACTTTTGGACTGTGGGATATTCTGCAGAGCTCTAGACTTTTCAGTCTGGTTCATTAGACTCATCTCAGGTCCTGAACCCTGCTCCATGTTTCTGAGGCTGGTACTCCATTCCCTTTTGGCTGCAAGCAAAGGTGAGAGACATATTTGTAACTCCACCCACTTCTGCCTCTGGCCCTGCCCACTGTTGGAATATGGACCATGCTAGGTTTTGACAGAGATAAAGCAGATCTTGGCAGGAAAAAGGGTCCCCATCCATGCCAGAAAAGGGGATGCTGGGGCTCAAAATGGCCAGGAACCCTGTAAGCCTTAAATCCCAGTTTGAGGACTATTGTGGTTCCTGAGAGGTGGCAGTGGCAGGAAACATCTGCATATGTTCTGTTTTTCTGCTTGATACTGCTTGATTCTGCCTGAATCCTGCTACTGAAGGTCCCTTTCCTAGGGACCCTTAAAAATCTGGAGATAGCGCTGATTGCTGGCCTAAACTTCCCTCAGTGTAAGCCTTACATATGTACTTGGAAAGTATAATGCTCTCTGCTTTCCCTCTCTCAGTACCTGCATGATGTGGAGGATCTGCAGTTGAAGTACCAGACCCTGCAGAAGAACTGTGACCTGTACAAACACAGGATGAATACTGTGTTGGCTCAGCTGGATGAGATCGAGAAGGAAAGAGATCAGGTGGATTTCTTAGCTCCTGAAATCTTTCCTTTGTTAGAAGTGGGAGTCTCAGGTAGATGGTACAAGCCCTCTGTCATCAACCTTGGCTGCTCAGGTCTATAGACAGGTGGTGGTTTCCAGTCCCTTCCTTGCCTGTGCAATTAACAAAAGAAAGCAGAAAACAAAGGAGAGGCATGCTATCTGGAAGCACGGAATTGCTAACCTGTGCCCTTGATCTAGCCTGTTACGCCAACTCCCCATGGAAGTGCATGGCCCTGCAGGGGAAGCGCTGGGCTTCATGTAATATTATGTCAGTGAGGAATGTTTGCCTGATTGTTCAGTGTCTTGGGCAGACATTGTCCCAAAAGGTGACCTGCAGAAATTCAAAATAAACAAAGCGTACCATGGGGTGCTTCACCTCTTTCAGTGCCAAATCCAGTTTAAGAGGAGCTTTGGGAGTTGCATTGCCATGGCAGACAGGGCCAAAGGCAAAGGGGAGTTCCAGAATACCAGCCTATTTTCGTTTAGAGCTCTCACTGGCAGGAACTAAACCTTGGGAGAGACAATTCAGCCTTTCAGTTTGTGTGGGTGGGGGGAGTGGGGGAATGTGCAAAAGCCTGGAAACCACAAAATGTTTGGCAGGCAGGGGAAAGTGTGTGGGGCCAGGTACCAGATATCCCAATAATCGGGGGCAGAGATTCCTTTTTCTGTCTGTGTTCCTCTTCCATGGCTACTAAAAAACAAATGTATTAGGTAGCATGAGATATACACAATGTTGCTTAATTTGTACAATATATTCAGAAATTGGCTTTTAAAAAGAGAGCAAAAAAAAAAAAAAAGCCAATGGTGTGCTTAGTTCTGCTTGTTATCCCATCTGCCTGGGGTATATTGGCCTCCCCTACAGAGCTGCATTTCTTTCAGGCAATCCAGAGCCGAGATGGCATTCAGCTGCAATACTCCCAAAGCCTTGTTGAGAAGGACCAGTACCGTAAACGGGTCCGGGCCTTGGAGGAGGAGCGAGATGAGTTGCTGAGCAAACTTACGCAAGCTGAAGGCAAGATTGGCACCTTGGAAGCACAGCTGCAGCGATGCAACTGCACCAGGGGCCTGGCCAAGAAGGTGTGTTTAAAGAAGGACGTCACTGATAGAAAGGAACGGGTTGAACTGCCGTAGCGATGTGTAACTGCTGCCTACCTATGCCAGGATTATTCTGACATGTGCTTTAGAAGGCAGCAGGGCCTAGGGCAAGATCTGAAAGGTACATGATGCAGCCACCTGGCTGAAAATAAGCAAGTTAGATGGCTGAGTGGCTTCTGGGTGGACAACAGCTTGGGAATTCTGTGCCTGCCACCTTGACTTAGGAATATGAGAAGAGCTGAGGCTTAAATATGGGATGAGACTAAAAGCCCATCTGATCCAGTGTTCTCTTCCTGCAGTGGTCAACTGGATGCCGCAATGGGGAAGCCCACAACTAGAATGCCATTGCAAGCTGTATGTCGGCATACTGCCTCCCACATAGCAGTGGCTTCCTGCCACCATTCAGACTGAAGATAGACAATAGTTCTTGCCTTTATTTCATTCATTATTATTTCATGCATGTACTTCATAATAGCCAGAGCTCTTTGGGCCGTTCACAGCAAGGAAACCCTCAGAGAGCTGAAGGCATTGGGAAAGTGACTCTGTTGCCCAGAGCCTGCAGGTGTGTTGTTACCCCAGTATTCCTCTGAACAGGATTTGTAGATTTGTATTAATACTCAGACCAGATACACCAGTGGGGCAAATGCATGCACCATGGGCTGGGATTTGTGGCAGGCCAGCTTTGACTCTGCAGAGAGCCAAACTGAAAACCTCCTTACTGCCCATTATGTGGACTGTGCTGGTCCCGTGCTCTTTCCTGGCCTGTGTTGGGCTTTCCTGCGTCAGGTGCCGGCAGGTGAGTGGCCAGTGTGGGCTAGTGCTGGAAGGTCTTTCTATAGCAGGGTGTGCTGTCTTTGTCCTCAGCCTGATTCCTCAGTGCCATGGAGTCTGGGCTGGCCATCCTTGGACATCTGCCGAGACCTACACCCTGGTGAAGAGCCAGTAGCCTCTGGCCCAGCTTTCCAGCTTCTTGCTATCCATACCCATCCTCTGGTCCCATGACAGGAGCAGTGAGCAGGGAATGCAAAGAAGACTTAAACTCTTATTGCTCTAACATGCTTTGCAGTGCTGTGTAGTGGTGTAGGCAACTCATGGTGATGGTCCCTGCAGCTGCACTCTGGGAAGAGCCCAAAATCCAGGGGGCTGTGTTGATCCATGCTAACAAACCCATTGGAATAGTTCTTTTCTCCATCAGGAGCAGGCCTATCATAAAGCAAAGGGCCAGCCAAGGAATCCCAAAATCCTTCGCAATGAGGAACAACAGGTGGTTGCAGGAAGAGTTCCTTCCCCCTTGGCCGTGAGGAGTGCAGCTTCGCTCAGAAGGAACGGGAGCCTGGGCTGGGTGGGGGCTGGGGGCAGAGGTGGTCAGTGTTCCCCCCACCACTGGGCCCTGTCTCCACAGTGCCCCTGAGCCTGGTCCAGTTTTGAATGTGGCACTAGCTCTGAGAAGCACAATGAAAACCTCCATATGTTACTCAGAAGTAAGTTCCTCTCTGTTCAATGGGTTTACTTCCAGGGAAGTATGTAAAGGTTCCCAGCCTTGCTTTGGTCACCATCTCTCCGTTGTGCAGCCTTGTGGCACAATTGCCTGTTGCAGCTGCTTCGTTTCAGTGGTGTGAGTCCCAAGAGGAAGGGAGGTCTATCTAACACCCTGCTTCCTTCCCCCGCTCCCTAAAATAATGGCAGTATGCAGGTTCATGCAGGCTTCCAGGTTGAAAGTGTGGTTTGTAGGCCGGTTTAAGCCTCCATGCCTCTTTCTTTAGGAATGCTCTGCCGCATTGGGAACTCCTTTGTTCTTTCACCTCTTTCCAGATGTGCTCCTCTGCCCATTCGCTGTGTTCCATCCTTAGTAGCACTTGGAGTGTGATAGAGAAGCCTTCAACCCTGGATGATGGGGCTCTTGATACTCCAGGCATCCCTGACATCTCCTTTCCTTGTGACAATATAAGCCAAGATGTGGTAAGTGGATGATTGTGTGCACCAAGATGTTGCTTTGCGTTTGTAGAACTGGACAACCTGGAGAACATTAGCCTAATCTGCAGCATCACTGGGAGATGGCCTCTTGGATTTCCCTTCCTAAGGTCATAACTCAGTCTAGAGGTGCAAGGATGGGGAATCTGAGATGTCCTCTGCCCCTTGGGATGCACTCTCAAGGACCATAGGAATTAAGGGGACTTATACATGTTTGCAGCTCTTAGCATTCTCTAGGTAGCCAGCCAGCTGGGGGTCAAGACTTTAAAAGCCTGGAGAACAGGCGTAGCCTGCTGCTGAAATAAGAGTCTTGCAGATGCCAGGCAAGATTCCCTTGCAAGAGGATTCCAGAGTTATGGAAGGGTTGCTGCCAGAAAAGCCCCCTCTTTTCATGCTTTCCTGAGTCTCGGAATGAGGGGGCAATAGGCATAAAAATACCTGCATGCCTTAATTACACCTGCCCAGCCTGGTATCATTCAGATGCGTCTGACTATAGCTTGCATCATGTACAGCAAACATGGCCATTCTGGCGGGATGATGGGAACTGGAGTCAGGGAAGGCTGTCCTACAGGTTTCTGTGGATGTGATTAGGATTAGGTAAGTCATGTGCTCCAAACAACTTCTGGATTTATATTTTAACCTATTGGTGATCTCCCTCCCCACCTTTCTCCTCCTGGCTCTTTTATGTGATGTACCTTCTAAGGAGTCCTTTAATGCCCATGAGCCCCTATCAGTGATTAAACTGCTGATAGCCACCCCAACTCTTGGGATTGGGCAGGACATAAATAAGCAATGAAAATTGTGTGTGTGAGATATTGTCACAATTCTCAGCCTCTCCGTTTGCACTGTAAGGTAGAGAAAGACTGCAGTTTTTAAGCTGAGTTCTGGAAATCCAAAGGCATTAATAATTTTGTACTCATCATCCCTCGGATCTCTGCCCCGCCTTGTCCAAGGTGGTACCATCCAGGTGTTTTGGATTGTAACTCTCAGAGTTCCTGATCTTCGCTTGATTGGTTGGGATTTTTTTTTGCAAGGAGACAAGGGGGATTACAGAATCCCCCTCCTCCTTTCCATTTTATCCTCACAACAACCCCTTGAGGTTGGATAGGCTGAGAGTGAGCTTCCTGATCGAGTGTGGAGTAGAACCCAGATCTCTGGAGTTCAGGTCAGCACTCTCTGCACTATGCCCCACTGGACATGCTGGCTGGAGCAGATGGGATTTGAAGTCTGAAGGATCTGGAGGGCACTGGGTTGGGAAAGGTAGCTGTGTTCCTTCATTTTCCAAGTTACTTTTCCCATCCCTTTTCTCCTTGCCTGAGCCCTTAAGGTGAAATTGCAGATGGAGGAAAGCCTGCTCAGAGTGCATGCACAGTGACTCTCATAAGGCAATCCCCTTCCAGAAAGTGGGGCCAGTGACCAGCGATCAATATGGTCTCCCACTCTTGTATGCCTTTGTAAAGGAATCCGTCAGCTGCAGTCAGCATTCTTTTCTCAGCTGGCTTCCAGGTGGAGGGGAGCCACTCAGTGCTCTGGGTCCAATCTAAATGGTAAAATCTGAAATGTCTTGGAGAAAAATGCATTTGCCTTTACAGTGTGGGTGTATTCCAGAGTCGCATTGCCACAACTGAGAAGGCGTTCTCTTTTGTAGCCGCCCACTTAATTTCATTTGGCTGGGATGTGCAGAGCAGGGAGTCTGGAGATGCCTGCTAGATCCAGTTGTATATCGCATACGTCTGTTGCACAATTTAGCACTTGTGTTTGACTTTTAAAAGATTGGGCTGAACGGTAAATAAGGAACATTCAATATATTCTGAGAGTAGCTTTTAGTGTTAGTGTGATTAACGTAAATCATGCATCTAATTGGACTGCGCCTTCCAATAATTCCTAGCCAGAATTGGCCATGCTCTCTGGGAATTATGGGTGTTTCAGTCTAACACATCTGGAAGGTTTCAGGTTGGGGAAGGAGGAACCCTCCCCAACATGGTGCTCTCCAGATGCTTTGAACTTCAACACTCATCAGCCCCAGCCAGCATGCCTGAACACTGGAAGTTGTAGGCTGAAACAGCTGGGGAGCATCCTATAATTCTAGTGAGTACTGGTTTATAGGATTAGATGGAAGCACTGCTAAGCCAGTGGAACAGGAGGTGTGCCACCAAGTTCAAAACCAGACTGGTGCCGCCCCTCTCATGTGCCAGTGGAACACTGTGGTGGCAGAGCTGAATGGCTAAAACAGGGCATGGGTGGAAAGGTACACTTTGCCCTTTGTCTTTGCTCAGACAGACATGTGTCCATATTCAGCTAGATTCAATTGATTAAAGCTTACCTGATTTAACTGAATGACAGCTGTAGCTGAAGAAAGTGAGAAGAGGAAGTTTGGGGTGGAGGAGACTAATTTTAAGGTATGCATTTGTATATGTTATTCCTCTTCAGGATGTGTCCCCCGACACAGAAAAGGAAATAAACCGCCTTTCCATCTTCCCCTTCCCTCCCTGTGCTGGCTCCATACTTCGACGACAGCGTGAAGAGGGACTGGCTCCTATCAAGAGGTGACAGCGGGAATCCCAGGCAATGGGAGTTCCCCCTCCCTCCCTCCTAGTCGCTTGCATTGCAGGCTTCCTCATAAAGAAGAGAGCCTCTCTGACTACCAGATGTGGCTTCTTTTCACGGGGATTGGGGAGAGCACACGGTGCGCTCCCGGGCGCGTTCCAGCGGCTCAGGGGCCTCGGGCGAGTTTGCCCCAGTCGGGTGCCGAGGTTGCAAAGCCTGCGGCTAGGAATGGGGTGGCCCCTCCAGGTTTTCACTGGAATTGTAAGACTGAACGTGTGGAAATTGTCCCCCTCCCATTGCCCCTAGCTTGGACAGCTCAGTTCCTCCCCATCCGTAAGGCTTCCCACTGCTTCACCCTCTCTGCCACTCTCACCTTTTCCTCAAGAACACTTTTTAGGAAATAGGTAGGATAGCAATTTGCAGAGGACAGGAGAGGGAGCTGGGGGAGGCCCAGGAGGCCATCCAGGGTGGCTGCATGAAGCCCCTACAGGACACAGCCCACGCCACATGGCTCTCGGTTCTCTTTTCCAGCAGCTCACTGCTGCCTGCCAGCTTCTGCTGCCTGAGACAACTGCCTTACCCTGCCTTAAAAGCAGAACTGCCCATGAGTAGACGGGGATTTCTCCCCTCTTCCTCCGATTTATATCCTGCTTTTTTCTTACAGTGACCTCCAAGCAGCTTACATTGTTCTTCTCCTGCTGCTCTCAGTCTTATCCCCATGACAACAGCCCTGTGGACTGAGAGTTTGTCACTGGCCCAGAGTCACCCAGCTGGCTCCATGGCTGAGTGGGGACTAGAACCCAGATCGCCTGAGTCCCAGTCCCAGGCTCTTAACCACTACACCACAGTGGCTCTCAAAAAACCAACAACTACGCTAGTTTATGTATTCAACAATGCCCTGCTCTGAACTGTTGAAGGCATCAAAAGGCATAATTTTTGAAGAACAGTGTGGAGATAGGCTGATGGTTTTGTTCCTTGTAAAAATGGGAATTAATGCCTCCCTTTCTGTGTTCCTTTATGTCTTCAGCCAGTCTTATGGGTCCTTCGGCAGCATGGAAGACTTGACAGGTATTGCTAGCCCCGGTTTTCCATTACTGTGTGATGATGTGAGGAGGAGACGACGTCCCTCTGCTAGATGAGCTGCACGGCAGTGTGCCCACTAGGGGGCACCCTTGCCCCACACTTCTGCCTGCCTGCCTGCTCTGGCAGCACCTTTGGGGGCTCGCTAGCCTCATGCATGCATGCATGGGCAGCTCTTAGGCTATTCCGGTCTGGTGTTTAATTTATAGAGGGTTTTTATTTGACAATGAATTCAATTCAGTTTCAGAGGAGTAGGGATGAGATAAATGCTTCTGCTTCTGGCTGTTATCGGTTCTTGTTGACGGGCTATAAATTTCTACTGTATGTCCGACTGTATATCTTGGGCTTGGCTAGATTTGTGGCATTTTCCACCAATGCATCAGCCCAGGCAGACTGGCATATCTACAAAAACTGTCTGGCTTTGCCATTCAGGTGCTAAAAATGCAGAAGTTTCGCCTGGAGCCTATTAAATAGAATCCATGTTACTCTCAGGAGGATTCAGAATCAGACATGTTCACCTTCAGGGGAGCCCAAATCACTCCCCTCCCTACTTTCCCAGATGGAGGATGTAGTGCTCCCATCATCCAACTCTGACCTAGCAGCTTCTGCTGTCTCTGAGCCACATTGGATCATGAGATGCAGAAACCAACACTGGCCCTTTAAGAACTGTAGTCCAGTAGGGGTGGAATCATGGATAGAACAGGCACTGCCAGCCTTCTTAAGGCCTCAGCTGGCTGCAGCCCTTTGCTAAGACAACCGCTTCCTATGGGTGACTATACCAGCATAGTTTATGTAGTATATTTCCCAAGGACCTGCCATGCTTAACATGATGCCAAAAAGATTGTGTGTGCTGTTGTGCCACCTCCTTCCCTGGGGCCTCTCGTCCAGGCAGGCCAGATTGCTTGTTCTGTGTGAAGGCGTACACTGTGCCCTTGCTTGCATGGCTGGATCTTTAAATGTTAGCCCAGCTGTGTGGGAGCTGTTCAGGAGAGGAGCCATGGAGTTACAGGCTTTTCCTGTCCCACCTGCTTCAGTGCTATCACCACACCTGCTCTAGAGCAGGGGTCTCAAACTCGCGGCCCGCGGGCCAAATGCCGGGACGGGCAGGGCATGAGGGACAGGCCCTGCGGCCTTCAAAGCGCCAGCAGCGCCCGGGCCGGCCGCGGGATGAGCGGCCCACCACCACTGCGGTGGTGGAATCCTTGATGCGGCCCAGCCTCACCCAGACTCTACTTCCAGCGGCCGCCAGGGAAGTTGAGTTTGAGACCCCTGCTCTAGAGCCCTTTGGATGCAGGTTAATAGGTGACTCTTGGATGTTTTCTGTGGTGACCTGTTTTCCATCTTCCTCTCTTCCAGGCAGTGTGACCACCACCGTCTCATCCGTCAGGTCCCCTTCCTCTTCCAGCAGTGCGCACAGCAGGGCAAAGTCAGAAATTTGCCTGTCCAGCATCTCCGACCAGAATTTTGCCAGGAGGTCTGTTTGCCTTTCACATCATCCCCTCATGGTTTCTAGAAGCAGTTTTATGATGCTCCAGAGACGCCTGCAATTGTATAGTCAGGCCTGGGGCAAGAAAATATGGATGCAGACCTAATGGGTATGAGAAACAGCATATCGGGAAACAGTGTCCCTTGAGTTGGTGAATCATTGCTGAAAATGTGCCCCGAGGAAGGATTTCCCGAAATTCACTGGACCAGCAAATCTCTCTTTTTAGCATCTGGAATTTCTTTCCCCTTCCTCTTCTGTTTGTGCTGCCAGCCCATTTAGTTGCCACTGTCGTTGCTTCTGCTGTGGAGGATCCAGCATGACCCACTGATGCTTGTCCTGGCACTTGATGGGCATGTACAGCAATTCACTGGTGGTAGCAGGACGCCTCCTGCAGGGCAGACCTCAGCCCCCACTCCCTCTCCTGGCAGAGATCAATGGGGCTCCCTGTATCCTGCTGATTATGGCACAGATGCTTTGTGGAGATTTCAGCGCCTCTCTCTTTGTCGTTGTCTTCTCCCTACCATGCAGATCTGTTGTGCTGCATTTGTCTAGTGCAGGTCCCCTGAGCATTCCAGCGCCCCAAAGCAGGGGTCTTGCTGGGGACATCTCCATCCTGGGAGGAAACAGAACAGGGATTTACATCCAGTGGGTGAGACCAGGCTCCGAAGTGGAGAAGGCAGGACTCCGAGAGGGATGCCGGCTGCTAGAGGTATGAATGGATGAATGTGAAATCATTGCTGACTTTTGAGCAGAAAGCATTTGCGAAGGAAGGGGGGAAGTTGTAGGACTAAACCAGGGAGCAGCATAGGCTCCTCTCTATTGTCTCTTAGGGTTACTGGGTGCTCACCCTGCTTAGACCTGAGATGTATAATGCAGGGTGACACCTAGTGGCTGAGCTGTATACTGCGTGAATGGTTTCAGAGGTGACTTAAAGGCAAAGATTGGAATCCTACATTGCATATCTGTGTTTATTAACTGGTGAGTCACTCAACTGGCAGACCTCCTTGGGATGGTTTACAGTCCTTAAAGTAAACAAACACCCACCCCAAACCAAAATAACCAAAACAAATACAACAATGAAAATATCAAAATATTAAAAAGCTAGCACTAAAGATTATAAAGAGCAAAGGGTTAAAGATTAAATGCCAACTAGAGCAGGCAGGTATTTATTTGGCAAGACTCCCTGGGAAGGACAATCCTCAGATAGGGGGCCACTACAGAGAAGGCTGTTCCCTTTGGAGCCACCTGTTACACCATTATGGGAAGTGGGATTGAGAGAACTTAGCCACTGGGTAGGAGCACACCCCTGTGCATGAGCCCCATAGAATTCAAGGGGATTTAATTCTGTGATAGAATTTGGCCCTATGCAATACTAATCTCGGGATGAGTTTGTTCATGGTTTATTGACATGTGGTTTGTCAACATGTGGAATTGGTAGCGCTTCTGTGTGGATACTGCTGCCTATTCCCACTGCTTTGTTGGTCAGTCTTAAATGTATGGCTTGGTGCAATCACAGGACTGCACTAAATAATACTGAGTATTTGAGAAGGGGCCAGGGCTCAATGCTAGAGTGCCTGTTTCCTTTGCAGCTGTTCCTAGGCTCAGTTTTCAGCACCATTGAGAAGGGCTAGGAGAGAGTCCAGCCCGAAACCCTGGTGAATCACTCTCAAACTTTGCAGGCAGTATTGAGCTGGGTAAACCAATGCTTTGACTTAATTTAAGACAACTATCTTCATCATTGCAACTGTTACTGTTACTATTAAATTTTATTTCTGTGCTGCCCAATGGCCAAAGCTCCCTGCATGAGTCAGAACAGTTCATAAGCATACACTCTTAAAACATTTAGGATTAATGAACTTATATTCCTTATGACAATCCTGCAAGAAAGGTCAAGTATTTTTATAATGCTCTTTTTACAGAGAGCACATTGAAAGAGAGCTTTTCCCCAGCTCCCAGGAAGTTCATGATGCAAGACGGGAATCCAGTGCTGGGATTCGGAGCTCAGTTTCTTAGCTCTCTACAAAGGGGTTGCTTGTCCCGTGTGTGTGGACAGCTTGAGGAACATGAGTGGGAGGGTGTTACTCCATCCGTGCCCGGCTTCTGAGTTCTCCTCCACGGGCTGCCAGCTAGGCCCTCTATGAGAAGAACTGGACTTGATGGGCCCATGGTCTGACCCAACGTGGCTCTTCTTGTGTTCTTCTTGTGCCTGACCAACATCTCTGCAGTGCCTCGCCTGTATTTACCCATCACTGGCTGCCATCATTTGCTGTAGCTTGGAGCACAGGAGGCAAAGTGCCATTGGGTAGAACCCTTATGCAGCCCATGCCACTGTCCTAGTGACCTCGATTCGTGCGGCTGATTGCTTGTCTTGTCCTCTTGCTGACTCTCCAGACAGTGTCCTGGTACTCCAGTGTTGACATGGGTGTCAGGATGCCCTTGCCTACAGCCTCCCACCAAACAGAGATTCAAATGATTTTGGTGGCTTGTAAGCAAGTCTCACATGCGTTCAAGATTGCCACCCTCACCAGCAAAGCCTGTTTTTAAGATCATCCCAAGTTGCCGTTTGCCTTTTCTGTAGTATTCAAGATTACAGAAGAATCAGACGAAGAGGTAGACACAGCTTCTTGGCCTAAATGTATTATTAGAACACTAATGGTAGTTGTTCCACGTACCTTCTTTCTGTTATGTTTCTGTGGCAGCTTAGGGGGACACAGATAAATGGGGAGGTGCTCTCTCTGGAGAACTGCACACGGGAGGTGGCTTACCTGAGTCTTTTGCACTGGGATGATCCATCAGCTCTCCTCTTCTTGCCTGATATGACAGGTAGGCTATTGTAAGCATACCTGGTACTTGTGTTTATCTTGGGCTCATCTGGGCTGCCAAGGCAGTGTCTATTTTGTTTATCTGTGATTGGGTTGCAGAAACAAATAACTGAATGTAAAGCCTAGAATACCTTATCTTACAGATTAGATATTAAGTGTCTCTCTCCCCTCCCCTCTCCCTGTTTGGAGAGAGAGAAAGAGAGAGAAGTTTCTAGTCCTTATGGTAGCAGAAAGAAATCTTGGAATACTGAGGTAAGAATGATCCTGTTATCAGAAAGTGGTACTTCAGTACAGAGCTCTGTGTGATCACATTTCTCCATCACACCATGGAAAGTGAAACAGATTATGGGAAATGTTGTATATAAAGGCAAGTCAGCTGTACTGATGTTTATGGTTCTTGGTGTATTTTGAGAATTCTCCTTTGAGACTATCTAGGGCAATCAGAAAAACATTCTACACAGTAATCATTTACAAATTTTATTGCTACTTCCGAACAGCCTTCTAAGTCCTGAGTTTCTAAGTTTTGAATTGTCCACTGTTGCTTCTCCTTATGCTGTTCACCTCTGCTGTGTGCAAGATGGCCTGGCAGCCTCCGGATGTTTTGGAGTCCCAGCTGCCGTCATCAGCTAGTATGGCCAGTGGTGAGGAGGCTGGGCAAAACTTCTGAAGGGCATCAGATTAAAGAAGGAAGCTTTTCTGGCACTTTAATGGACAGTGGTCTGCTGGTGCCTGTTAGCCACAACACTGAAGTCCAGCCTCCTTGCTTGGCAGGAGACCTCTGTGTCCCAGGCGCTTGGCCTGGAGCAGGGGCAGGTGGCTGTCGCTTTCTGTTCTGCTTGTGAGCTTCCAGAAGTGCCTAGTTGTGCATCGTGGGAGACAGGATGCCGGATGGGATGGCCTGGGCTTTGTGCCAGTCCAGCGAGGCTGTTCTGATGCATGCCCTCTTCTTTTTGTCAGGATACCTGCCTCTTCAAGAAGCACGAGATGCCGGCCGGAAGGTTCCTGGAGACTCTTTCTATGTGCGCGTCAATCTGAGTCTCCTGGAGCTGGCAGACCCTTTGGCTCTGTGTGTGAAGTGCCAGGAGATCCTTCATGTCACGGACACCTTGCACAAGGGGCGGTTGGAGTGGTACTGTGCCCGAGTGGACCCCTTCACCCTCCGGGACCTGGACAGGGGCACGGTACCCAACTACAACAGGTAACGGGCCTCGGGCAGCTCTCTGTTGCTTCTTGTTGGTTGGTCCTTGATGTCCTCAAAGGCGGGAACCATTTCCCTAGGGAGGGGCCAGTAGAAGAGCATCTGCTTCACAGGCAGAGGGTCCCCTGTTCAATCCCTGGTGCACCCACATAAATGCCCCAGTACTAGATCATCTGTGGGGCTGAGGTGGTTCCTTCCTTCTGCCAGTGGCCCCCTGCACGCCTTCCACCCGGCGACAGCAGAGGAACGCATGTCACAGTTGCCCCAGCAGCAGTTCCTCACCTCGGCTGCTGTGCTGCCAATCGGAGCCAATATTGTCAGGTTTATTTAGGTGGTTATGCCCATAATAATACCCCATTTGTGGTTCTTCCTCTCATCCTACATTGCTGCATTCTGTTGCGGTCTGCAAGGGGCAAGGTGGAACTCTGCATCTGAAGGGAGCTTGCTTCTCAGCAGTACCCACTAACTGCTGCAGAATGAAATACGGCCATTGGCATGGCTGCTGGTCAAGGGACAAGCCCGTCTTCTTTTCCTCTAGAAACCAGGGTCTTCCACGGCAGGCTTAGCACTGACCTCAGCAACACTTCCAGTTACACCCTTTTACAGTCTCCCATATATGTGAATGGCTGTCCTGTGAATGTCGGAAAATGTAAAAATCACAACAGAGGAAGAACCAGATCCTTCTTGTGACACCGGATAGCTCAATTCCTAATGGGAACGTCTTCACAAGGAGTAGCAAAAGTGCTGCTGCATCACAGAACAGATGCTGTGGCTACTTGTAGCCAATCTCTTTATCTTATAAAAACGAGGGAAATCTCGGTCGGCTTTCCTTGCAAAAAAGGGCAAATGACAATTTTCTGTGCATCTGAGTTCCCCGTGTGCTTCTGGAGCACAATTGGTCATACTGTGATACTTTCCGTCTCACTTTTGACAGTCAGTGAAGTGGTTTTCAATTATTGTCATTCTTTCAGGGCCCAGCAGCTCTTGAAGATCCAGGTTGCGGCCCGTCAAAAAGGCTGCAGGACTAAGGTGAGCCGGAGGTGAGATATTGGCGGGGATGTGTATGTTGGAAAGAAAGAACGAACCTTTCATTGTTGCTTGTGGTGAACACTTGGGCCCTGCAGGGGTGTTATTTACAAACCGCAGTAGATTTGTCTTCACACTGGGTTGCTGATCAGAGTGGGCTTCCTTTTTGTTGACAAGAAAAAGTGTTTTTGGCTTGGGCGCAGCCCCAAAACCCATTTGCATTGCTAGGAACAGTGTTGTGTAGTGGACCTGAGAGAATTTAGCATAAATCCTGCTTTAGCCACGGGACTCTCTGGGTGTCTTTGTGATAGTCAACCTGTCTGGCTCATGTGTTCCCTTTCAGGAGCTCTGCCACATGGAGGGCAGAGTGTTGTTGGGTGCTGCGAGATCCAGGTTGCAAGGCGCCCATTATTTATCTGGTTCACTCTGATGTCTCGGGGCAGGTCAGGCTTGCCTGAAAAGAGGAGCCAGGTTTCCCAGAGAGCAGCACCATGGAGAGCTCCACATGATGTTGGGGCTGAAAGCCAAACATGCTTGCCCGTCTGTTGCTGCAACAGTAAGCCTTAGGTGTGGGTTTTGGTTCATTTAGGCTGCTTAGCCTCGCCCCTGTTCTGATTGAAGCATTTTTTCTCACTGGCAGGGAACTAAAACATGTCCATTCAGGATTCTGCAAAAAATGTAATGTTCAAATTGTTGGAAATACTGGATATGCATGTTTGGGGACATACCTCTTGAGAGGAATTTAGCTGCTGACAACCCACACTTCTGGGAGCAAACAATGATCTTGTCTTAGGGGGCTTATACCATGGCAAGCTTTGAAAAACAGCAACTCCACATACCCTGGTCAAGGCCTCCTCCCTTGTCCACTCACTCTGAACCCAGCAGGAAGCGTATGGCCCTGTTCTCTGATTGCACGCTGGCTTGGCATGGCGGCAGGGATAGTCCAACACACCTGGGGAACGCTGTTTTAAAGACTGGCACTTGAACAGGGCAGGGACTGGGAGAGCCGATTTCCCGCTCCCTTGGGGTCCAACGCTGCAGCACAGGGCACGTGCAGTGGGGGCTGCCGCCGCCCCTACCGGTGCAGCATTTTCTTAGGGGCAGGACTCTCGTGTTCGAGATACGAAGCCATGCCATGCATTCTTATCTTGAGGCGTGTCTCGAAGGAATATGGGAAGGGAGGAATCGTAATTGCTGATATGCCCCTCCTCGCCTGGGGAGTTGTACTCAAGACAGAGCCTATTTAAGGTCCAATAATAAACATGTTGCTGTCATTGTGCAAGCATCTGAGTGAAGCATTCTCTGATCTTCCTCTCCCTCTTCCCCTCCCTTCCCCTCCCCTGTGGCTCCTTTCAGCTGAAGAAACGAGCCCTGGACCAGCTTCGCCTGGTGAAGCACAAGCAGCCGGATGAGGCCTTTTGGAAGGACCCTTGCCCAGGTGAGTTGCAACTGCTCATTCCTGCCTTCTCACTGAGGAAGCAAGGCTTGCTTCTGAGTTGTGCCACCATTTCACATCAGAAACCCCCAGGGAACAATTTTGCCTCCCGTGGGAAATACTGTATATACCAGAACAGCATGTATTTTTCATAGTCCTGATATTTTATTTATGTATGTATTTATTGATCTATTAAGATTTAAACCCACTCTACCATCTCATGACCATGGCAGCTTACAATAAAATGTTGAGAAAACATGCACACACAATCACAGTACATAAAATCAACAAATTAAACAGTAAATTAATACAAACAGCATTAAAAAAATATGTGGGGCAGAGTCAAAGAGATCAGTTTAAAAGGCCAGGCAAGTGAAGAGCCGGAAAAGGGCTGAGTAAAGCTTCTAGTGGCTAGGAGTAGCCCAAGTATCTGTCCCCATTCCCCCTTGATCATGGTCCGTGCAGCTATTAAAAGCATAAGGATTGTTTCCCTGCATCAGGGACAGGGTTGGTGTGATCCTGTAGGTGTTACTGGGTGCATCTTCCATGATCCCTTAGCATTGGCTCTGCTGGCAAGGGCTGATGGGAAATGCAGTGGCATCTGGATGGCCACACATTTTCCACCTCTGCCTTATATCGAACCTCAAAGTTCCACCTTCACTCCCCTCCATTGTCCTTCTGCCCACAGATGGCGTGGTAAAACCTTACAGTCCAGTACGCCCCCTGGTGGTTCAGACCTGTCGCCCTGTTGTGCTCTCACCTGGCTGCTTGGCACCACAGCTCATTAGGAAACTTTTGGACCTCCCTTCTTCTCATCAGGACTTCTACTTGTGCCCATCTGGTAAGCTGGAGAGATCAAGTGACTTGGTCAGGACCAGGGAAGGAGTCAGAAACATCGGAAAAAAGTAGCCTTCCTGTTCTTGGAACTGGACTTTCACCTTGAGACCACATCTAGAAATGATCTTCTGACAGGGCTCCCTGACATGAGGCTGAGTGGGGGGATGACCTCGGGTGGCGGATGCTGGCGGCCAGTGGTGGCGCCCTCTTGTTCATTCTGAATCCCTTTCTCTTCCCTTCACTGGAGACAGGGTTGTGCAGGTCACGCAATCTATTTTGGGCCCTCTAAACCCGTCCCCTCTCCCCTGTCTAGGGGAGTGGCTACCCTGTGACCAGTGCTGACATTCTGCAGCAAAGTGCCAGCCTACCAACTTCTGGCAGGGCTGGTGGGAATGCAGTCTATGGATGGGGTGGGAAAGTGGCCTCTGGACCCTCTGAAGTTTTATTTATTTATTTAAAACATTTCTATGCCACCCCCATCGCAACACAGCCTCGGGATGGCTCACAGCATAAGTTGCCCACTCTTGGTCTAGGAAAAGAACTTCTGGCACCTCTTCTGTAGAAATCCCTCCCCTCCCCTCCAACAAATAGAATAAATGTGCATATTTCCCCACAGCTTCTGCATGTTTCCTCAGAAGTAAGTCACAGTGTTTCATGGGACTTGCTCCCAGGGAAGTGTTGCTAGGATTGTAGCCCAAGGCTGCTATCTCTGGCACACCCAACTTGGAAGTAAATCCAAAGAATTTGGGGGAGTGGGGGGCTTCCTTCTCATTCAAGATGAAGAGGAGGAATGAGGGTGCATGTCTCAGCCCAGCATGTTGAAGTGGGATTTTTGTGCCCTTCCCAGTCTTCCTGGCGTTTCTTTCTTCCAAGGAACTTAAGATGCACCTTTTCTTCTACAGATGCTCTTCCTGAACAAAGATTCTCCTCCGGTTCCTGCAAAAATATTCTTAATGCTGATATGACTCAATGTTCAAGGGATCATGGGAGGATCCGCACTATCCAAGAGGCTGCTGGAAAGGTGAGGAAGTGGAGCAGAGCAGGCTGAGAGGCCAAATTGTGCTAAGCACATTTTACTGTGAGGCACCAAACAAATTAAAGCTCCCTTTTGTTGCAATACAGGCCCAACAGCTTTTTGTAAGCCTAATGCTAACCCTCCTAGAGCAGAAAGGAATGCTCATGCACTCGTATGTGGCAGATGCAGTGGGGAACTGAAAGGGCCATACTCTGCATTCCTTGGTAGGTGCTGAATCAGTAAGGATCAGTAAGGCAGTGGAAAGAAGACATGATCTGGTCGAGGTAAATGGAGTGGTGTCTTGTGGGGAATGTGTGTTCCCAGAACATCGCTCAAGTCCTCTTGTAACATTGTCCAGAGTTTCCAGAGCAGAATTCCCTGTGCAAAACTGTAAGCTAGCAAGGCCTTTAGGTCTGTGGGGTGATGCTGTCCTGGACTAGCCCAGCATCCTGAGCGTCCCTGAAGGTGGCCACCAGGATCCTTTCCTGTCCAGACATTTGGACACTGGGTTTATTATATATCCACTGACTCTGCCCTTCGATCTCTTTTTCCCTTCATAGGGTTGGTTGTAAATCCCTTCTTTTAATGGAATTACTATTGGAAAAGCAATGATATTTCACACTCTGGGATTTGATTTAATGTAACTTGTCAGGGACAGGCTATTTCTTTTCCATTTAGATCAGTAAATCTGTTGGATTTCCTTGCAGAATAAACACTGCCTGCTAGAACTGGAGGTCCAGGTGGTGAGGGATCTAATTAAAAGTGAAATATACCCCATCATTATCCATGTTGAGGTCACTGAGAAGAACATCAGGGGAGTCAGGTATGAAAAGCCCGTCTCTGGATTGACAGAAGTTATGGTGTGGATGTGGGAAAGCTAATCGCTTCCAGGGGATAAGGCGGACTTCAGGGATGGCAGGGCTGCTGCTGGGCAAACAGGCTAATAGCCTTTGTTCAGCAGCCCTCACAAGGCTCAGCTTCTGTCTCAATGACTTTGGATTGCACGGGCGGTGGGAGGGGAACGTTCTTGCAAGCAGGAAATGTCGCTGCAGCAGGCGGCGCGAGAGTGTCATCAGGCCCTGTTTGCTTCGAAGTGAGATCCCCTGGGTGCAGTGGGACTTTCTCTCCATTGGGGGTGCCTGGTCTTCATGTGGGTGCCACTGAACTTGTGGCATTTGGCTTCTTACGAGTCTGCTGCTTCTCATCCATAAACTTATGCTGGTTCGCAGGTACCCTCTCTGCCCGGCCCCTACCTCACCCCCCACCCCGCAACCTAGATAAGGGATAGGCAAACTGGAGTACTCTGGGTTCTTTGGACCAAAGCTTCCATCAGTCTCAGCCGGGATGGTCAGGTGCATTATTATCAGTAGTATTATTACAAAAACAACCATAAATAGCATTTATATCTTCCCTTTGGCCCTCTTGCAAGGAACCCAAGATGGCTCTCATGGACCTCCTCCTCTCCATTTTATCCTCACAAACAACTCTGGGCTAAGATTCAGTGCCTGGCCCTAAGGCATCCAGTGAACTTTGTGGCTGCATGAGGACTAGAACCAGGATCTCCTGGGTTCCAGTCTTGTGCTGAATGTTCAGAAACGGGAGAGCGGCTGCTTCCATGTGGGCTCTCCCCACCAGAGGCACGCAGGATGCAATTGGAGAGCCATCTGAGAGGGGTGGTTTATTGGGAGTCCTGCACCAGCAGGGGGTTGGCCCCTCCTGCCCTTTCCAGCTCTGCCATTCTATGATGCGATGTCTGAGAGGACGGCTTCCACCTGTCACTGATCGCAGTGCTCCCGCTGGGCTCCATGTTGAAAATCCAGTCCCCATTTTCATTGCACTGTCTGAGCAAGGGAGACATACGCATCTGTGTGCAGAGCTGCAAATCTGGAGGTCTGTTTCCGCCTGGACCTGGTCTTTGTTCAGGGGCCCTTCCTGAAAGAATTGGGGTGCTGGTCCGGTGAGCTCTCCAGGCTTTTGGCTGGGGTGATCCAGCCCAGCCAACCCATGGTGTGGCTGTCCTAGGCCAGACCGCCTCAGTGGGCCAGTCTAAGCTTCTCTTGCTGCTCACCCTCCTCCTCTTCAGTGCTACCACCACTTGGCAGGCAGGGAGCCCATGAGCAAGTGGGCCGTTGTGCCATTGGCTCCTCCTCCTGATCTGGGCTGAGAGAGAGGCAGGTGAACAAGCAGGTTGCAATGGTGAAGAGTGGAAGCAAGTCCAGGAGGTTCTTGTCAATGGGCCCTCAGCCTTGGCAGGTGCCCTGCCATGCCTATATTTGGCGCCAGCCCTGGGTGGCACACACCGCCCTTCCAGTTTGGGTTCTCAGCCAGCTGTCCAGTGTTGAAGACAGTTCAACCAGAATGCTTGCATCTGTTAGCAACACAAGTGTAATATAATTTATATATTATACAGCCTTCCCCAAGCTGGGGTCTTCCAAATAGGTTGGACAAAGACTCCCGTCATTCCTAGCTAGCATGATGGTGGGAGGCTGTACTGGTGCAATGGGCAAGCATTTATTGGGCAACCCATCACTTCTTGGAAGCAGACCATTGGACTTCAACATGCTGAAGATAACATGCTTCACATCTCCCTTCTCTGCTAATGCATTATTCCCTATGTTGAGAAGAATGTACTGATGATGCATTTCTCTTCTTCTGTGCTTCCCTCCTAGGAGCTTGCTCGGGAAGGTAGGGCAGCGTGATTCTGAGGTGCTGAAGCAGTGCCAGTGGGCCGAATGGTCTCTCCGCACCTTGCCCTCTTCGTGGACCAGAGTGGACCCTCAGTCCTGGGGTAGCACAGAGGAGCTGGTGAAGGTGGTGCGGGCTCACATCTTCCAGGAACAGGCCAGGATAGTGTGGGTTGAAGAGAGTGATATGTGACTGGCTTCTTGATGGGTTAGGTGGTCTTTGGTGAGATCAGTGAGTTTGCACAAGAAGAAAGGCCTCTGCAGGACAGGGGATTGGACGTACTGTTCCACCAAAGTTCTTCCAAATGTAAGATACATGCCACAGATCCTTGGCCCTTGGTGCATGCTTGGCCAGGTTGACTTCCTTGCAGTCTGGCCATTTCTTTGTTTGGCCTGACAAACGGGAGGAAGACTCTCACTGCCATCAGGCATATGAGAAGAGCCGTGCTGGTGGATCAGACTAAAGGCCTCGCTTGTTCAGTATTCTCTTCCCACTGTCGCCAAAGAGATGCTTCCAGGAAGCCCGCAAATGGGACATGAAACAGCCCCCGCCTACCCATGTTCCCCAGCAACTGGTACACAGAGCCAGATTGTCACCTGGTGGCTCAACCTCTGCCCTACTGTGGACCCTTTGTACCTCCCAGTGTTCTCTGTGGCTCTCGTCTCTACCTCAGTCCACATCCCAGCAGAAGCAGGCGCATGTGGCCAGGGAACTGGGGTGGACATGGTCATGTGCACGTGCACCTGCGGACAGGCAGCATCTTCAGCCGAAGCAGCAGTGAGTGGGCTTCTGAAATCATCATTGTGAGCCTTTCTGTGTATAAAGGATGAATGGACACTCTTTATTGGAAGGTCTGCACACGAAAAAGAGAATTAAATTGCAATGAAAATGAATGACTGGCTCCTTCTTTTAGCATTAACTGAGGGTAAGTGCAAGCAGTGTAAGGGAAAGCACACTTCTTAAGGGAAGAGTGGTGGGCATGAGGCCAGCATGTCTGTCTTCTGTTCCTGGGAACTTATTTGTTCCAGCAGCTTTCTCTGGATGTGCTATTTGTTCTGAAACCACGGAAGAATGTGGGCCCAGAAGGGCCCTGCACGTCTTCCAGTCAGCAGAGGCAATCCCTTTTCCTTCTAAAGACCCCTTATCCCTTTGAGCTAAGACTGGGGTGCAGGGCAGCTCACAGCTAGCAGGTCAGATGCAGGCTCTGCAGTGACCCCAGCTCTGTCCCACTGCCTGTTGCCTTCCCCATAATTCAGGGGCTTAAAAGGCATCTGTGGCAGTCAAGGAACGTTAAAGGGGTCAAAAGTAGCTTTTTTGCAAGCTAACTTTCATCCTTTTAGCACTCTGTGGCCAGAATGGAGCATTTAAGGGTCAAATTTTACTTGCAAACAAGCTGGATCTGACTTGCTTTGTTGTTCTGTAGTGCTGCAAATGACATTTTTTATATTTAGTTTTTTTGACACCTGTAAGGGAGGGTGGCCTGAGGGAAAAGGTTGCAGCGAGAAAAAATGCCTGCCTCAATTAAGGCAGTTCAACCCTGTACTATTGGAGACAAGAATGAAGTGGAGTATCGGGAGGAGGAATGGATTCCGTTAAATGTACGGAGGGAAGGGAAAAGGAGAATAGAAACTAGCACATAAAAAGCCTAGCACCCAAGTTGGCTCATAATGCGGAGTGAACTTTTGGGTTGCTTTTGCAGTCGTTCTCTGGGAATGGCTTGATTGACTCTCTGCTCACAGAGTTAAACTTTAGTTGCCACAGGGTTAAATTTTAGAGGTGATCTTAGCAAAGCGCACACAAAAGGCTTGAGTGATCTCAGTTTTCTTTAATACTAGAATCTGAATATCCACCACCTGGAGCAAAAACTCTACACTGAGAAGAAGAGGGCTGAGTCCTGGTGTTTGGATCAAGCGCCAGAACTGAATGGAGTGCCCAGTCCTTCCATACAAAACTCATTCCTGGTTTCCCCAGACTTTCTTCATTTCAGTAGTATAATCAGTGGTAGGGAAGAGTCATTTTGTTGCTGCTGTTAGAAGGAAGATATATTTGCCCAAATGCTTAGATTGGCCAGAGATCTACGAATCGCTCCTGCACTCCCTTCTGATCTCCCCTGTTCTAGAGGATTAGTACAGGCTGGCTAATATATTTGGCAGAGGAAATGCTCATGTGCCTGATGCGAATGCATGCGACCACCCAAGAGTCATATGGCACATCAAAGCTGGACACATGTCCGTATGATGGTGTAAGCTCTCACAGGCGTCTTGCTTCTAATGAAGCAGAATGGAGCGTTATCCTGCGTTACATATGGTTTGAGGCAGTGGATTGTAAGCACAGGTCAGAGAAAAAGGGAAAGCAGATAGAACAGGCTGTGCAGAGTATATTATTAACAGTGGCCGTTCAAAGGACAGTCGTGGACTGTGCTCCCTGAAAGTATATACTAAAAGAGATTGTTCTTTAACATGGAATCAGTTTCTTGCTCTAAAAGGCTAATATGGCTGCTCTTCTGGATGCAATTATCAAGGCACAATCCTGTGAATGTTTAGACTTGTAGGAATTGCAGGGCTTCTTTCTGCTAAAATTGCACAGTATTGGATCCTTAATCTGTTAGAGATGTTAAAATAAGCTTTTCTGTCACCATCCAGATCTTCCTGTCAGCTATGGTAGTGGAGAACCACGATGTTGCTACCCCGAAAATGTGCCAGCATCTCAAAATTACTTCATGCTGAGTCTCCACGGTATGAAGGTTAAGCAGATGACAGGTGTGAAATCTGGCATAGCTCCCATGTCTGATCTTTGGCTATTTGTTTTGCGATCTGGATTAACTGAAAGAGAGCCAGAGTGGAAGGTTATGTCAAGAGATCTGCCCGCCACTTTTCCCTCTCTGCTGCCTTTGGCAGATGGGTGGGCAGGTTTCAGCTGTGTGTTCACACAGGACTTTCTGCATTCATTACACAAGTTTAAGATTTATGAGGGCAAGATGTAAACACAACAGGGCTGGCTAACAAGCAGCTTAGATGCACAGGGGAAGTCCTGGGCAAATAAAAGGATCTTTGGCTGCAGAAGGAAACGGTGTTAGCCCTGGGAAGTCCCTGCCATGGGGAAGGCATTCTGTGTGCGGAGTGCCACAACTGGTGGCAACCCTTATAACAGAGATAGGACTTGACTTTATTGACCCAGGGAGGTTCTCATTATTATTACTTTGTTACATATCTGTACTGTTTAATAGCTGGAGCTCCCTGGAGAGTTACTTCAGTTGTGAGCTGCCTGCTGCCGGAATCCCCAGTGTTATCTCTGATCTGAGAATGGAGATAATGGACAGTTATTACTTTACATTTGTTTCCCCTGCTAATTGGGAGGGGAAACAAGCAGGAAACAGCACTGCCTAGTTTTATAGGAACTGTCCATGGTACTGAACCCAACCCATGAAAAACTGCAAATATAGGCATTTAAGATGACCCTTGAAACCAAAAATAGCAAAGCAAAAATTGGAGGTCATCTTATACACCCAACAGAACACCAGGAAAACAGTCCAAAATATTGACCTCATATGTGAGGCACCGTATATGCCAATATATAAGGTAGTTTCACCACCATGGAGCACCATGAATGGCTACTATAAAACTCAAATGCTGCAACGGATAGGGCATCCCAGTGCCCTAGGAAGCACCAGCCTCCCCTTTGTAGGACTTTAGCTGCCCCGCATTTGCCTTGGCAGGTTGAAAGCAGTACTTCAGTCTTATTTCTTTGTTAAAAACATTTCTTTTTTTAAAGAAGTTATCCCTTTTCTTACTACCTGTCAACGTAGCTATAAAATAAAAAAATAAAGAAAAATTGTTCTAAAAAACTCAGCACTGACTCCCAATGCATCCTGATGAAAAGCACCAAACAAGTCTGTTGGGTCATATTACAAAACCTTGAATAGCCCAGTGAGAAAGAAACAAAGCTTCAGTGGACCTGTTAAAAGTCGTCAGGACTGGACTCTGGTGAAGGAGTGCTGGAATACTTGAGGTTCCGCTGCTTGCTGCTCTTTTTGGTGGGCTTAATTCTTGGACTCGGGGGCTGGCACAGTGAGGGCTGGGTCTTGGGGCCCAATCCAGGCCCAGCAACCCAGGAGCGCTGGGAGAGCCATCTGAAGGGCAACAGCTGATTGGGGAATGCCAAGAGGGCTGATATGGACATTTTAAAGAATATTGTGTAGATCTAAATTTAATTATCATCTCTTGTACTTCCTCATCTAAATCATTGATAAAGATGTTGAAGAGCGCTGATGGAATGAACCTACAGCAGCCCACTAGTTACCTTTCTCCAGTCTGAGAAGGTATCGTTGATGATCACTCTTTGTGTCTGATTTAGCAGCCAATTTTGGATCCAGCTAATAGTTTTTCTATCTAGTCCACTTTTTGCCAGTTTGCTTATCAGGATGTGGTGGAGCACTATGTCGAGAGCTTTGCTAAAGTAAGGGCAAATTATGTCCACAGTGTTTCTGCTGTCCATTTGGGAGGTAACCCAGTCAAAATATGGATTAAATTAGTCTGACAGCATTTATTCTTGATAAATCCATGTTGGCTTTTATTAATCAGTACATTTTCTTTGAGGTGCTTGCAGACTGATATTTTAATAATTTGCTCCAGAATTTTTCCAGGGATTGATGTCAGACTAACTGGTCTGTAGTTCCCAGAGTCATCTTTTTTCCCTTTTTTGAAGATGGGGACAATGTTAGCCCTTCTTGTTAGTCATCTGGCACTTCTGTTTTCTATGATTTATTGAAGATAATAGACAGTGGTTCTGAGAGTTCCTCTGCTGACTTTTTTATGACTCTGAGATGGAGCTCACTGGACCTTGGAGATTTGCATGTGTTTATTCCATCTAGATATTCCTTGACCATTTGTTTGTTGATCTTGGGCTGCCATCCCTCACTTTCAGCTCATACTTCCTCTGCACTGCAGATCTTCCTGTGGGAGAAGACTGAGGAAAAGTAGAAACTGAGCACCTCTGCCTTTTCCTTGTCATCTCTTATCACTTTGGCATCCATTTTAGATAGTTAGACAGCTTTCTCTTTCATATGTCTTTTGTTTTGGACATTTCTGAAGAAGGCTTTTTTGTTGTGTTTAGCATCCCTCACTAGTCTTAGTTCATTTCCTGCTTTAGCCTTGCTGACACCATCCCTGCAATTTCTTGCTATTTATTTATATTCTTCCTTTGTGACCTGGATCTGCTCCCATCACCTGTACATGTTCTTTTGTTCTTTCAGGTCATCAACTTTTTTCTCCTCTTCCCATTCAATTTATACCCCATCTGGGCAGAACCCAGGGAAGCTTACATAGTTCTCTTCCACTTCATTTTGTCCTTACAACACCAACCCTATGAAATGGGTTCAGGCTGAGAGTGAGTGACTGGTCAAAGTCACCCAGGGAGCTTCATGCCTGAGTGGGACTGCAACATCACCCAGATCCCCAGTTGAACACTAACCACCATACCACAGTGGCTCTCCCTACTTATAGGCCAGGGTGAGTTGTTTGAAGATAGGGGTATAGCCCAGGTCCTGTAGGTCCTCTTCAAGTCAAAAACAAAGCCGTTGACTGGGTTTAGACAACATGATAACTCACACTCAAAGGGTAGAGTGTGGTTGTCATGGAAGAATAGGTTATTGCTGAAACATTGGTTATCATGTTGTCTTGAACCCAGGTGAAATAAACCATGGTGAACAACCCACAATTTACAACCCAGGAACAAAGCATGAGTTTTCTTCATGGGTTGTTCATGGTTAACAAGCCATGGTTTGTTAGTGAAGCTAGGTTCAGACAATATGGCAACCCACGTTTCAACAGCAGCTCCCAGTTCAGGAACAAGACACACTCAACC